TATATGTGGCGAAAAACAGACTTCACCGTTGGAATCAGCGTCCAAAACTGTACACATGGACCAGTTTTTATGAAAATCTAAGGGGGTCCCCCTTCCCAAAAAAAAACTTTGAATGCCTCTAGGGGCAAAAGTATAATATGTGGCGAAAAACAGACTTCACCGTTGGAATCAGCGTCCAAAACTGTACACATGGACCAGTTTTTTATGAAAATCTAAGGGGGTCCCCCTTCGCCCCAAAAAAACTTTGAATGCCTCTAGGGCCCAAAGTATAATATGTGGCGAAAAACAGACTTCACCATTGGAATCAGTGTCCAAAACTGTACCCATGGACCAGTTTTTATGAAAATCTAAGGGGTCCCCCTTCGCCCCAAAAAACTTTTAATGCCTCTAGGGGCCAAAGTATAATATGTGGCGAAAAACAGACTTCACCGTTGGAATCAGCGTCCAAAATTGTACACATGGACTAGTTTTTATGAAAATCTAAGGGGGTCCCCCTTCGCCCTAAAAAAAAACTTTGAATGCCTCTAGGGCCCAAAGTATAATATGTGGCGAAAAACAGACTTCACCAATGGAATCAGCGTCCAAAACTGTACCCATGGACCAGTTTTTATGAAAATCTAAGGGGGTCCCCCTTCACCAAAAAAAAACTTTGAATGCCTCTAGGGGCAAAAGTATAATATGTGGCGAAAAACAGACTTCACCGTTGGAATCAGCGTCCAAAACTGTACACATGGACCAGTTTTTATGAAAATCTAAGGGGGTCCCCCTTCGCCCCAAAAAAACTTTGAATGCCTCTAGGGCCCAAAGTATAATATGTGGCGAAAAACAAACTTCACCATTGGAATCAGCGTCCAAAACTGTACCCATGGACCAGTTTTTATGAAAATCTAAGGGGGTCCCCCTTCACCAAAAAAAAACTTTGAATGCCTCTAGGGGCAAAAGTATAATATGTGGCGAAAAACAGACTTCACCGTTGGAATCAGCGTCCAAAACTGTACACATGGACCAGTTTTTATGAAAATCTAAGGGGGTCCCCCTTCGCCCCAAAAAAACTTTGAATGCCTCTAGGGCCCAAAGTATAATATGTGGCGAAAAACAAACTTCACCATTGGAATCAGCGTCCAAAACTGTACCCATGGACCAGTTTTTATGAAAATCTAAGGGGGTCCCCCTTCGCCCCAAAAAACTTTGAATGCCTCTAGGGGCCAAAGTATAATATGTGGCGAAAAACAGACTTCACCGTTGGAATCAGCGTCCAAAACTGTACACATGGACCAGTTTTTATGAAAATCTAAGGGGGTCCCCCTTCGCCCCCCAAAAAACTTTGAATGCCTCTAGGGCCCAAAGTATAATATGTGGCGAAAAACAGTTTTCACCATTGGAATCAGCGTCCAAAACTGTACCCAAGGACCAGTTTTTATGAAAATCTAAGGGGGTCCTCCTTCGCCCCCAAAACTTTGAATGCCTCTAGGGGCCAAAGTATAATATGTGGCGAAAAACAGACTTCACCGTTGGAATCAGCGTCCAAAACTGTACACATGGACCAGTTTTTATGAAAATCTAAGGGGGTCCCTCTTCGCCCCAAAAAAACTTTGAATGCCTCTAGGGCCCAAAGTATAATATGTGGCGAAAAACAGACTTCACCATTGGAATCAGCGTCCAAAACTGTACCCATGGACCAGTTTTTATGAAAATCTAAGGGGGTCCCCCTTCGCCCCAAAAAACTTTGAATGCCTCTAGGGGCCAAAGTATAATATGTGGCGAAAAACAGACTTCACCATTGGAATCAGCGTCCAAAACTGTACCCATGGACCAGTTTTTATGAAAATCTAAGGGGGTCCCCCTTCGCCCCAAAAAACTAGTTGAATGCCTCTAGGGGCCAAAGTGTAATATGTGGCGAAAAACAGACTTCACCATTGGAATCAGCGTCCAAAACTGTACCCATGGACCAGTTTTTATGAAAATCTAAGGGGGTCCCCCTTCGCCCCAAAAAACTTTGAATGCCTCTAGGGGCCAAAGTATAATATGTGGCGAAAAACAGACTTCACTGTTGGAATCAGCGTCCAAAACTGTACACATGGACCAGTTTTTATGAAAATCTAAGGGGGTCCCCCTTCGCTCCCAAAAAACTTTGAATGCCTCTAGGGCCCAAAGTATAATATGTGGCGAAAAACAGACTTCACCAATGGAATCAGCGTCCAAAACTGTACCCATGGACCAGTTTTTATGAAAATCTAAGGGGGTCCGAATGTGATTTTGAAAGTGAATCTGAATCTGAGGCTGTCTTGACAGACGTCTGGAGAAACATCATCTCTTCTATAAAACGTGCACTATATGATCATTATATGAGCAAACTGGAAAGAAATTGTGATGACTCTTTAGGGAGATATAGCCAAAAATGTGTTTTTGGAGTGATTTTTATGTTTTGTTGTCAGCTTATGCATCATGGCGTTCATTTATGGTCCAAATCAGGTTAACGACTTTTATGTATTTTGAACAACTTTATCTAACGCTTATAATGCCGGCTTGGTTCGTGTTAAATTATGCCTTGCTGGAGTGCAAGGCGTTGTTCTCTGACCAAACTACGTGATGGGGTAAAACGCCCCAGTAGGTCGCGGGGCAAAACGCCCCCTGGGGCGTTTTACCTCATGTGTTGTTCGGACTACCCACTTCCTAATGTTCGGTAGCTGGCTAACAGTAAGTTTCTATGCATTTATATGTACTTTTCTCAGCAACTGGATGGCAAAGGAAGTATTTTGTTAACATTTCCATTGCAATAATTTATTATTTGGCCTTATGAGGCAGGTGAAAAACCTGCTCATACAATAGTGTCATAGCTGAACACCTGATAGGGTGGAAGGAGCTAACTTCAGTGCCGTGCTTCCCAAGGTCTAACAGACCTCTCATATAAGATTTAAGTCAACTAGCATGTTTAATCTTTAATCTAGAGTATGGGGCTTCTTGCCCCAGGCCGTGGGGCGTTTTGCCCTGGGGTTGGGGCAAAATGCCCCATTTGCAGTTGCTTCACAAATCACTTCCTAGCTAGGAGCCCGATCATAAGTGAATGAATTTGAGGGGTGGAATTTAAAGTAAAATGTCCAAAGAACGCACTGAGCACAAATTTGGCCTTCCAGGTGATGTGGGACAAAAGTTATGTAGCAAAATAAATTATCTGGGGCGTCTTGCCCCAGGCTACCCTACCTATAAGTCAATGGGAGAAAATTGAAATGCGCCTCTTTTGGACAAAAGACATTATAAACACTCCCAAACACCGAATTACAAGTGGTTTAGACACACTGAACATGAAAATGGTGTCCGTGACCCTTGTTTATGCCCTGAGGTCATCTTAGGTCACGAATGGTATCTAACAGTTTTTCGCAAATAACTTTTGATAGAGGCATGCTAGAGCGATGAAAACGCCTTAGATGTGTTCAGCTCGACGATACGGATCGACTGATATGCAACATGACCCTTTCCGGTCAGGTCATGACCTTGACCTGAGGTCAAATTTTCAAGTTGACCTTTCAAGGTCAACTTATAATTCATTCGATGCGTCTTGACAAGAGGAACACAATGCCGGTAAAAGTAAGCTCGTACAAGGCTTGGGTCAAAAGTTATTGCAGAAAAACTGTTTCCGAAAAAATCAGCTATTTTTGCAGTTTTTGCCCCCTGCAGGCAAAACCGTTGACGTTAGGTCAAATCTGAGAGGATCACTCAGAAAGGGCTTTAATAGGGCTATCGAATGCGCTTTTCCGCGGCGCTGTAGCTCTATTGGTTCTCGAGTTATGCGTTGGCTTCTTGGAAATTTTCGACATTCGACCTGGAAATCGGCGAAATTTTGCCTTCAATTACCTCTGGTGACCTGACCTTTGACCTGACCAAAAAATTGACCGAAGTGATTTCGTCATTATTTTTGACGCTCTTTCGAACGCCGCCTTCCGCGTATCGCTACGTGGCCCAGGAGCCGAGTTACAAGGGGGGGGGGGTGTTCAAACACCCCCCCCCCCCCAGCAGGGCGTGGAAATCCAGGACCCCCAGCCGGGCGCGGGTTAATGTGCCTTTAAAAGTTCTAAGAAACTTCCTAAAATGGCATTTACCTCGCCTGCGTCCCGGAGACGGTTTAGCTCTCCCCAGCGAGCCGGGAGTGCGTGTTTGGCGTCCAGGATCACGTTACGTGTTTATGTCGAGCTGTCTGCGGCTGGGAAGACATAGAGATGGTTCACACCGCGCCGCAGAATACACACAGCCCTCATCACGCCTGTTTGTTGCGGGTCCAGCGCAATCCCTCAGCACATCAGTCGTGATAGATGGCCATCCCTGGATACAACAGCGGCTGTGAATCGCCAAACAAGGGAATAGCGTACACACACCGCGTCAAAAACATAACTGGGTAGTCGGCAGACGGACATGCTTTTATTATGTGTGTTACTGGTTTGGTATGGTAGGTAGGTATAATGCGATTGTAATTTGTAGGTACAATTTGTAGTGTACCTAAGTGTAAGGTTACATCGTGCAGTGCTACTATTTGTTCCCAATTGCATGGTGAGCTCAGCTTATTCCGTGCGACCAAAAAATGCTTTCTGTGGTAGCAAATGAAATAAAAGTAGAAAAGGAAGAATTGGTAAACAAAAGTTCCCGGAATTCTGGGAACCGATTTCCATATTATGAGTGTCATTGGCACCGTGACGAAACGGTCAAAATTGGCTGCGCTATAATTCTGATATGCACGTGACATCACCCGCCAATGAAATGTTTAGGACCTGGAGCCCGATATGCTATTCATTAAAGCTTAAAGCACAAGTAACGCACAACAGTAGCACAATCAGCAGACCAGACATGTGATCTGCTGTTGGCAACCTAAAAATTACAATTTAATCTCCTTTACACCCGGACGAATTCGGGGCTGACGGACTAACCGTCGCCGTGGAGTGGCTGCCGGGATGCGTACCGCGCTGCTCGTGTAATGACAATGACCTGAGCCGGGCCGATGTGTCCCTCAGAGGCCGACGATGGCGAACTGGCGGCACACGTGGAGCTGGGTAATGCCATGCTCGGACCGGACGGAAAGGTGGGTGACGCGGGCTGGCCGTCACAACAGTGACACTCGTTACAGCCTGGCCGGCCGGGGAACACCCCTGCGTTACTGGACGGTACGGGCTAACCGTCGGTGATTGATGCAAATATTGCATTTAACTATCATTGGGATGGCCCTGAAGTCGTGTTGTGAGCTTTCATGCCTGGATTTCTCAATGATTACCTACAACGATGACTCGCACAGAGTTGTCATATGATCTGCTGAAGCTGGTCTCTGAGGAAAGGGAATACGCTAGTTCCCGTTGTTATTGAGCGCTAAACCCGGTTATAGTTATGTAGTGTAAGCGTAGCGTACCGCAGTGTGTCAATTCGACGGAACGTTTGACGGTCATGGTTAAGGTTTGTGGTGTGCGATAAGAGCGATATTGCTAAGGGAAAAGCTAAAAGCTGTGGAAATTAAAGTTTCCTCGGCCGGCCACGACCCCGCGCTGCGGGCTGTGAGGGCCTAATGAACGCTGCGGATGCGCTGCCGCCAGCCTCTGAAGTGCCATGCCTGCCGTAAGAACCTGAAGCGGCGGAAGATCGTGTGCTCGGCGTGCAAACAGGTGATCTACTGCAGCAAGAAGTGCCGCGCCGCCGACTGGGACAAGAGCCACGGCTTCACCTGCCCCGCGCGCAGTCAGAGTGAGTACCGAGTACCCTTGTGAGTACCGATCTGATACCGAACTCACCGTACCACTGAGGCCTTTTTGAGCCTCCAATGGCTGGGTTTTAGAGACAGTATCCTAACCACATTCATATTTGGTTGGAGAGTATTCAGATTCCTGTGACATCATCAGACTGCCCTCTTCCCGTTACCAATATCTCAGCCTGAGTGTCCCTCTCCAAGCAAGCGTCACTGTTCCCCTCTGAAGGCCCCACCCCACTGTTTGCTCCCCCCACCGCCGCCAGTGTCGCCGTCTGTTACCACACCCCCCTGAAGGCCCTGTCTCACTGGACACTGACTGCCACTCCACCGCCGCCAGTGTCGCTGTCTGTCTGTTGCCACACTCCCCTGAAGGCCCTGTCTCACTGACTGCCACTCCACCGCCGCCAGTGTCGCCGTCTGTTACCCCCTGCCCCCCTGAAGGCCCTGTCTCACTGACTGCCACTCCACCGCCGCCAGTGTCGCTGTCACGGCTGCAGGACTCGAACGGCACCAGTTCGACCCGCACGCGAGGCACCTCGGCCGACAGCGGGCCGCAGCGGGGCGACGGCTCCGAGCGGGCCGGACGGTCCGGCCGCCGTCCGGACGACGCCGGCGGCCGGACCGGCTCCCTGGACGACCGGGGCCGGGGCGGCCGGCGGCGCGGCAGGGGCCGCGGCGGCCGTTCCCTGGACACACACCGGCCCGGCCACCCGCGCATGGCGCCCATCGCCGGCCGCATGCCGCCCTGGCTGGCCGCCTTCATGGCGCAGTTCGAGGGCATGCACATAGGCGAGTGTCGCCATCTGGTGCTCGGAGAGTGGTACGAGGACAACTGCAAGATGAAGGAGAACTACAGCTACGTCTAGTGATGCTACGACCCGGAATGGTGCACCGGTGGCGCCCCGAGCCGACACTGGCCGTGTAGGTGGCGCTACAGCCATCAGAGCGCAGTTGGAGGCCTTAGTTCAGGCTCGATCATCTTGTTTTGTTACACCAACTTGTTTGAGTTTCTTGTGGTTGTTACGATAAATACAATGGTTCTCTCAACGAATTAGGCAAGCGATGATGAGCCTGTATATTGGCGACGTAGATAGCCTGTATATAGGGTTACATAAGTACCTAACTGAAGACAACCCATGAAACCAGAAACGACTCTGTTCCCGGCAACGCTGGCAACCGGTGTAGTAAATTCATTCATCGGGGGAAACGGTACTTATCATAAAAATGTCATAATTTTACCAGTCATGACAACATTCAATTCAAAGAAATTAACAATAACTAGTTACCCTATGTCAACTGTCAGGCCTAGTGTGGAAATCATCCATACATGTTGCGACATTAGTTAATAGCAATGTTCACTCACTTACAGTACTGCTAGAGCTCAGTAAAACAACAGCAGCTATCCAAAACTCACCGAGTGCCTGCACCTTGGATGGAGGTTTCCACTTTACGCTCACTATGGGGCACTCCGCGCCCCCTCACCCTCAGGGGCACACCTGCCTCGCCCGTGGCGCAAGCGAAGTTCGTCCCTCGAGCACAACCGTGATGTCCCTGGAATGTCACGGTATTCAGCGCACGAATCGTCACTCAGCCGCTGCTGAAACCGCTTCACGGATAGATAGATATAACACCATGGAATCAGCCCAGGTCAGCCATGGGTCACTCGGCCACGGTAGACTGACTGGTGGCTCTGCACCCGTTACCGCTCAGCTCCGACGCAGGCACAATAGCCTGGCTGGTGGCTCTGCACCCGTTACCGCTCAGCTCCCGCACGGCACGGCGCTCAGCTGGCGCCCGTCACCATCTGTCGGACGGTGCGGTCGAAGGCACGCGCCGTGATGGGCCGCGCCGGCAGGTAGAACGGGTTGCACACCATGTCCGTGTAGGCGGCGTGCAGCCGCCGGAACATGGTGCGGATCTCGTTGTCGCGGATCGACACGTTGGCCGCCTCCACCACGATGATGAACTTGATCTTGGTGTTGGTGGCGTAGCCGAACACGCGGTGCTCCTCGGTGGAGTAGAGCGCGCCCAGGTAGAGCTCGCGGCTGTCGGCGGCCGTCTTCCCGGTGGCGGCTAGCTTCTCCTCGACCACGTCCAGGGCCGTGTGCACGGTGTAGTGGAACTGCAGCTCGGCGGCCGGGTCGGCCGTCAGCAGGTACAGCGGCGCGTTCTCCTTACCAATCACCGCCACACAGACGGCCATCTCGAGGCGGGGCGGCGACTCTGACACCGGTGGGACCGACTCCGAACTTCACACCGGTGACCTACGAGACAGTAAACAGAAGGTACTGAAATTGGCATGCATAATGCATACACTCAAATTTATTCCTTAACTAGTGAAACGCTTGTGGGAAAATTATCAGGTATCCCAGCCTCCTTTGCAAAGCCAAGGTACATTTTTCCTAAGAACATTTCTCAAACATCTAACAGCAAAATAAACCCAAATCAGATATTATACCATTAAGATAATTATAACATACATCATACATGTATATCCCTACATTACATTTGATTGGGTTAAAGTGTGCTATCATGCAGCAAAGTTACTAATGACTTGTAAAACAAGGCCAAAATACAGATATAACATAAATTTAATTCTTGAACATGACATGATTTAGGATTTTGATTTCAACACTAGGAAATCTGCACAGTCATCATGTGTAATAATGATCTAAATGAATGATGGCAAGTAAAAGCACAATTGCTTATATTCTTCACTTGCATTTTTCTGAGCATTTTTCACTCAAACACTGCTTTTGCTCAAACCTTACTTAGCCTGATCTCTGAAAGAGATGGTGTTCCTGTAGAAGGGTTCCTTAGCACCTGGAAGCTGCCCAAAGTAGTTCCAGGAAAGAGGCAGTAGAGCTAAGGGTGGCTTATTTGATTGCTGAATGCCGCCCTTTATCACTTTGTGAACCAGTCTTAATGTCTTTTAAAATTAGAAAAAGGGTACCGGCCACTGGGGGAAGAACAATCACTACTCTGATCATAAATGCAACAAAAAATTCTGAATCAGCACTTGGCAGTCAGCACAGTGACTATTTCTACAAGATCACCTCAGACACTCAACCACTACCAAAAAATTGAACTAAATGAATTGGTTTAACCCGCGCCCCAGTGGCGGTCTCAGCCAACTTCGCCCTTGTGGGGGAGGGGGGGGGGGGGGCATATGTTACCACCCACCTCTAACTCAAAAACTAAGAGGGCTAGAAAGACGCGGTAAAAAGCAGTCAATAGCTCTCAAGGCGTACGTTTGAAAGTATTTCAGTCATTTTTCACCTTAGAGCAATATTGTGGTCACCAGAGGTCATCAAAGGTCAAAATTTGCCAATTGTCATTATATTTTTCAGAAAACATGCCGCTATCACAGGAACTATGGTAGCTAGAAAAACGCATGGAAGAGCAATCGATAGCTTTTGAACTCTTCTTTTGAAAAGGTCATTATCAATATTGACCTCAGGTCAACGGTTTAGCCTCCAGAGGGCAAAAACTCCAAAAATAGCTGTTTTTACGAAAAGTGTTTTTCGACAATAACTTTCGACTACAAAACGCCACGACATTTCTATTGCCAGAATCGTGTTTCCCTCGCCGAGGCGCGTCGAATGAACTATAATTTGACCTTGAAAGGTCAACTTGAAAATTTGACCTCAGGTCAAGGTCATGACCTGACCGGAAAAGGTCATGTTGCATATCAGTCGATGCGTCTCAACAAGACAAACACAATGAGACCATCCCCAGCGTTCTATCTCTTTCCAATCGCGAGTTATTGGCAAAAAACTGTTTGTAGCCTCAAATGACCTCGGATGACCTTTCTAGAGGCTATCAGCAAAAATGACACCTTGGTCATCACGAGTGGACTAAATCATTGTGATTCTGAAATATTTGGACTGTTCCTATGCGTACACACGGATCTACAGGCATTTTCATTTTTCTCCATTGACTTGTAATGGAAAGGTCACGCCACTGACCTGACCTTAGGTCACGGATATAAAAAATCCGAGATATACAAATTGTAGGCGCCCATAACAGCATGCAATCCACCAAGTTTCAAACCTTTCTGACAAACACTGCAGGCTGGACATGATTGCAAACTTTTTTTAAGGCTTGGTCAGTTAATTTGACCTGGTGACCTGACCTGACATGACCTGGGGTCAAAAATTTCACACATTGTCCAAAATTGATGTACCAAAAGCTTCCCAAAGCGGCGCGGCGCTACGCACCGCGGTTTTTTATTCACACGCAAAAAGCGCGACAGGATGGTAAACATATCCCCCCCCCCCCACTGGGGCGAAGGTTAAGATGTATGGCCTTATTGGCCAGGCCCTTCAGTACATTGATGGTCCATAAGCTGCACTTTTGTCAATTGTCTGCGACATTATTTCACACAAAAATGACAATTCAATTTAGCAACATCTGATTTTTCATTTTTATTTTTAGAAATCATGATGTGTGATTACCTAATTCAAACGCTTGGTGAATGGGTACAATGACTATTTAGCCGACCCGACACATTGTTAACATATACTGAGAACTCACAAATAACATTATACAATGGTTATTGTGAAACACCTGTTACCTAGGTACCATTTAAATTATTAGCAATGCAAAGTGTAGAATGTTGTCAAACATCGACTATATCAATATATGACGTTAACGGTCATAAGATGCCAATTATTGCCAACTATTATTTATGACAAATGACGATCCTATTTCACAGAACAAGAAGTGTTAAAGTTTGTTGTTTTTAAATATTGCACCAAATAATACAAAATGGTTGGCAATTGGCATACAGCATGAAAATATTTGAAGTGATAGGGCCTTGACTGCAACCAAACCAAGCAAGAAATAAATAAGGGCTCTGCTATTCTGCACACCAACAACATAGTAGACCTGACATACAATCCGGCTGCAGATAAAATGCGAAATAACACATTGCCCACAACAATAAATCCTTAGGTAGGTACATATCCTACCAACGGTGACCATAAATAAGGGTAGATCCGTAACCGGACAAATCTTCGTATGGCAATTCTTCGTCGCGCAATTCCTCGTCCGCATTTCTTCGTCCGCAAATCTTCGTCGGCGCATTTATTCGTGTCGCATAACTTCGTCTCGCATTTCTTCGTAAGCGCAAATATTCGTAGCGCATTTTTTCGTATCCGCATTTCTTCGTACGCGCATTTCTTCGTCAAGCATTTTTTCGTCCACGCATTTCTTCGTCTACGCAACTCTTCGTCCGCATTTCTTCGTCCACGCAAATCTTCGTCTGCGCATATCTTCGTCCGCAAATCTTCGTCCCCGCAAATCTTCGTCCGCAAATCTTCGTCCGCATTTTTTCGTCCACGCATTTCTTCGTCTACGCAAATCTTCGTCCGCATTTCTTCGTCCACGCAAATCTTCGTCCCGGCAAATCTTCGTCCGCAAATCTTCGTCCGCAAATCTTCGTCCGCAAATCTTCGTTCGCAAATCTTCGTCCGCATTTCTCGTCCACGCATTTCTTCGTCCACGCAAATCTTCGTCCGCAAATCTTCGTCCGCAAATCTTTGTCTGCGCTATCTTCGTCTCCGCAAACATTCGTCCACAAATGTGGTTGAATAAAACCATGAAGAAATATCAGACCATCTTAAGTGAATGACGAATTTAATGCATGGAATGGATGATCGAAACTTTTGAAGTCATGGCAGATGAGATCACTCAGTCAGGTGAAGCTATTGTATTTGGGAGCCGACAATTGTAACATTCCATATCATTTGTGTCCCGGGCATTCTTTTTTTCGCGGTCGTTGAATGACAATATAATCTCTTGTGCCCTCGCCGGCATAGGCGGCGGAACGGGGAGGGCACCGGGGCACCGTTCCCCTCTTTAATTTTGGCCTTTTAACAGTAGCCCTATGGGCGTTGCATGGAAAGAATGGGACCAAAAGTCGGCAGTGCCGTGCCCCCCCCCCCCTTAATTGAAGGTGTTCCGCCGCTACTGCTCACCGGACCTATTTGTTTTCTACATAGGTACACGCCGGCCGAGGGGGGCGGGTACGACCCCCCCTCCCATCGCCGTTTCGCCACTGGTGGAGCTAGCGCGTCGCGGAAAAAACGAGCGTGTGCGCCGTTACGAGAAGCAGAGATTAATACCCGATTTTAACCTTCCAGGCGGTGGGGGGGGGCATTTTTTTGCCCCCCCTTTAGTTTTTTCGATATATCTCGAGAACCGCTGCACCGATCGTCACCAAACTTTCAGTACCCTCCCGGGAGCAGCTAGCGCACATTGTGACCAAAAATTTTTCCAAAGGCTATGATAGGTTGGCCGCTAATGACGTCAGAGTGACGTCATTTTTGCCATTTTCGACCCAAAAAAAGGTTTCGCAGGAAGAGCTGTCAGGCCTACAGCTTTAGAGATACAGAAAAATGTTTCAGACATAAAAGGTCTGGAATTAAGAGGGCTACAAAACTGCTATTTCGGTTTTTCGAATTTTTTGGATTTTGACCCCCAAAAATCAAAAAATAGATTTTTTGAATATAATAGCCTAAAAATCCAAAAAGTTTTTTGAATTTCGAAAAAACCGGAATATATGTGATAGCCCCTACCGCCTTCTATTTACATACCAAATTTGAGATCGATACCTCTTTTTTTGGCCAAGTTATAGCGAAAAAACTGTTCAAAATTGATGACGTCAAATTTTCAAACTCAATTTTTAGCAATTCTAGACCTCGTAGCGCAAAACAAAGACCACCATTAGACTCCCCGTGACGAGCTGCATCGAATCGATATCCATTTTATGCAAAAATATCAACTTTGAAATTTGACCTTTTTTGACCTGACCTTGACCTGACCTCCACCAGAAAGTGACCTAAACCGTACCTGATGGTCTTATAACCAACACCATTGAGTTGGAAATGAAAAACTGGCCATAAAACATGCATCGCATAACCTTAGTAAAGTTGGGCTCATGTGGTGACCCTTGGTGACCTTTGGTGACCTGACCTGTGACCTGACCTGGTATGACCAGTGACCTCTAATAGCAACATATGTACTAGACAACTGACGCCTTATCGCTGATTTTCGACAAAATGCGTTTTACTCGGTGTTATAGCGCTTTCCCTAGAAGCCCCGTGAACGGTGAAACATTTTATCTTTGACCTGACCTGTGACGTCATCGGTGACCCCGAGGTCAATGAAATTTGGTTTCCCTCGATAAATTTGACAGGGCTATCGAACGCCGTTTGAATTTTCCGGATCCGTCCAGTAGTTTCGGAGATACGGGGGGGGGGCAAAAAAGTGCCCCCCCCCCCCCACCGCGCGGAAGGTGGCTGGTAGGCCCACCGCCTGCCGGGTTAAGGCCTTCTAGGTCAGGGGTCGACATACCGCCCGCGGGCCGGATCCGGCCAGGTGGGTGACGGTTGGATCCGGCCCGCGACCATCTGACGTCCGGCCCGCGGCTGGTATCAGCGACTTACATCGTGTTCCGGCCCGCGGTTCTTTCAGAAATCGACTCCGATATAAAAGTGACTGAAATGACCTTTGGCACAATACCTAGTTCTTCCTTCGCACACTTCATGAGTTTATAAACACTTAATTTGCGGGTGTTTTTGTCTAATTCTACTTAAAGACAAAACTTGCAACGGTAAGATTTGGTCAGATGCTTTTGCGCGCAGCATCAACGACTGCTGGCTGCGTGTACTTGGCGGCTTCACGTGGTCTACTCGTTTAACCTTCCAGGCGGTGGGGGGGGGGGCATTTTTTTGCCCCCCTCCCACCTGTATCTCCGAAACCGCTGGACGGATCCGGAAAATTTAAACGGCGTTCGATAGCCCTGTCAAATTTGTGCAAGGAAGCTAAATTTCATTGACCTCGGGGTCACCAATGACGTCACAGGTCAGGTCAAAGATAACATGTTTCACCGTTCACGGGTCTTCTAGGGAAAGCGCTATAACACCGAGTAAAGCGCATTTTGTCGAAAATCAGCGATAGGGCGTCAGTTATCTAGTACATATGTTGCTATTAGAGGTCACTCAGGTCACTGGTCATACCAGGTCAGGTCGCAGGTCAGGTCACCAAGGGTCACCACATGAACCCAACCCGCAAATGGTGTTTATAAACTCATGAAGTGTGCGAAGGAAGAACTATTGTGCCAAAGCACATTTAAGTCACTTTTATATCGGAGTCGATTTCTGAAAGAACCGCGGGCCGGAACACGATGTAAGTCGCTGATACCAGCCGCAGGCCGGACGTCAGATGGTCGCGGGCCGGATCCAACCGTCACCCACCTGGCCGGATCCGGCCCGCGGGTCGTAAGCCGACCCCTGACCTAGAAGGCCTTAAAATCGGGTATTAATCTCTGCGTCTCGTAACGGCGCACACGCTCGTTTTTTTCCGCGACGCGCTAGCTCCACCAGTGGCGAAACGGCGATGGGGGGGGGCGTACCCGCCCCCCTCGGCCGGCGTGTATGTAGAAAACAAATAAGTCCGGCGAGCAGTAGCGGCGGAACACTTTCAATTAGGGGGGGGGGGGGGGGCACGGCACTGCCGACTTTTAGTCCCATTCTTTCCATGCAACGACCATAGGGCTACTGTTAAAAGGCCAAAATTAAAGAGGGGAACGGTGCCCCGGTGCCCTCCCCGTTCCGCCGCCTATGCCGGCGAGGGTACAAGAGATTATATTGTCATTCATCGACCGCGAAAAAAAGAATGTCCGGGACACAAATGATATGGAATGTTACAGTTGTCGGCTCCCAAATACAATAGCTTCACCTGACTGACCTCATCTACCTGACTTCAAAAGTTTCGATCATGCATTCCATGCATTAAATTCGTCATTCACTTGCAATGGTCTGATATTTCTTCATGGTTTTATTGAACCACATTTGTGGACGAATGTTTGCGGAGACGAAGATAGCACAGACAAAGGTTTGCGGACGAAAATATGCGCAGACAAAGATTTGCGGACGAAGATTTGCGTGGACGAAGAAATGTGTGGACGAAAAATGCGGACGAAGATTTGCGGACGAAAATTTGCGGACGAAGATTTGCGGACGAAGATTTGCCGGGACGAAGATTTGCGTGGACGAAGAAATGCGGACGAAGATTTGCGTAGACGAAGAAATGCGTGGACGAAAAAATGCGGACGAAGATTTGCGGACGAAGATTTGCGGGGACGAAGATTTGCGGACGAAGATATGCGCAGACGAAGATTTGCGTGGACGAAGAAATGCGGACGAAGATTTGCGTAGACGAAGAAATGCGTGGACGAAAAAATGCTTGACGAAGAAATGCGCCGACGAAGAAATGCGGAAACGAAGAAATGCGCTACGAATATTTGCGCTTACGAAGAAATGCGAGACGAAATAATGCGACACGAATAAATGCGCCGACGAAGATTTGCGGACGAAGAAATGCGGACGAAGAATTGCGCGACGAAGAAATGCCATACGAAGATTTGTCCTGGAATCGGGTAGATCCTACCTACCCTTGTCAGAATCCCGAATCTCTCTCTCTCTCTCTCTCTCTATACGGCCTTGCCGAATCTCTTCAAAAATATAACAAAAAATACAACACCAACACCTTGACCAACACAAGGGGCCTTGCACAAGGCCGTATAAGAGAGGTAGAATCATCCCGCGATTTCCAATGGACCGGTCGCTAAGCATTAGCGTGACGTCACTGGTGGAGACCGGGCGGCGCCCGGCTCCAAGCTGTACGTCGGGTACATTTGGCACCGTATACTTATTATTACTGAACGACGAACGTAACGACAACTAATGACTCTTAATAACTTTTTTTACTCACTTAAAGCTGATTTCCTTGCCGGTACATTGCCGACCCCAGCCCCAGGGTTGACAATCATGGGATATGGGTCGGATGGGCGACCTCGCGACGGGAGGGTGTTCCGCACCGCCGATTGCATTCTCTATATGCACCCGGGGGGAGGGGAAGCAGGGGGCACGTGCCCGCATCGAATCAGGGGGCCTCTCGGGCCAGAGGGGCCTTGCGACGCCAATTGGCGGCTGAGGGTCCACGCTGGCATCCTTCGACTCAGAAGGGCCCCATAGGGCTCGGAAGAACACCTTATGTGCTCCGAAGAGCCACACTTCTCTCCATGAGAGCCCCACACCGGCTTTTTAGTGTCCCTTGTCGGCCTTTGAGGGCCCCTTGCTGGCTTCTCAGGGCCTATTGGTGACCTCTGAGGGCTACTTGCCGGCCTCTGAGGGCCCTTACCGGCCTATCAGGGACCAGCAGCTCTAAGGGTTCCACACACGCCTGCGATGACCCCCTAAACCAATGGTTAAAGGCCCCCACAACGGCGCCTGCGAGGGCCCTCACCGGCGGCTGTGAGTGCCCCACACCATTGCCTAGCTGAGGGCCCAACACTGCCACCTCTGAGTGCAACCGGCACCCCTGAATGAGGTCCCGAAACCAGTGCTTCTTAAGGCCATATATCGGCGGCTCTGGGGGCTCAACGCCGGAGCCGCATCGGACGGCCACTCACCGGTGACTTTTGAGGGCCCCACACCGACGACTCTGAGGGCCCCACTGGCGTCTGAGTGTACCTTGCTGGTCTCTAAGGACTCCACAGGGCTCCCGAAGGCACCGCAGACCTCTTGAGAGCCCCTTGTCGGTCTCTGAGAGCCCCTGTCGGCCTGTAAAGGGTTCAAGCCAGCAGCTCTAAGGGTCCCACACCCGACTGTGACAACCCCACACTGCAGTGTCTCTGAGGGCCCATAACGGCAACTGTGAGGACCCTCACCGGCGCCTCTGAGGGCCCACAGCGGCACCCCTGGGGGCCCCGCACCAATGCCTCTGAGATCATCACACCCGTACCTGTGAGGGCCCACACCAGCGCCTCCAAAGGCTTCATAACCGGCGGCCCTGAGGGCCCTACACGGGTGATTTTGAGGGGCGTACCGAAGGCACCACACAATCCCTTAGTCTCGCTGAGCTTCTATCCCAATCCCATACCGGCTTCTATCCCAAATGCCGGCTCAACTCATTATCAGCCCCCCCCCCCCCCTCCTCCATGGGTCAGCAGCGCCGCGCCGGTGCCGGGGGCCAGCGCCATCGGGGCGGCAGTCGGCCACGCGCACTCAGTGGTTAGCGCTTAGCACCGGCGGCTAGCGCACGCCCGGTGCGTTATCGGCCGTAAGCCGCTCCAAAACGGCTGCAGGTCGATATAGGTATATAGCAGATATATAGCAGATGCAGAGATGCAGGTGGATTGATGACCGGCAAGCTTTTGTGTTTTACGAGGGTGAAGGGTCGAAGTCGGCTGCTAAGTGGTGAGCGGATTTTATCAGATGCCGGTTCACTATGACCTTTGTCCGGGTCCTGGTACCCTGACGCGCTCCTTGCAGTGGGCCTTGCATACAAACCTAAACAGCGCCATTTATGTCTCAGCCCCGCCACTTTCAGGTTCAAGGTCAATAATTCGACTGCAGTATTTTTCGAAGTTGAAGAAGGTAAAAATGACGTCATGAGGCAGCAAAACAAGGAAAATTCGATTGGACAATTTTCAGGGGCAGAGGATTGCCATGATCCCAGGCCCCAGGGGATGCTTTTCCAGCACCTTGCGAATGGAAGCGTCGAATTCTTGCGTGGAAAAGCACATATAGATATGCTTCCCCAGCAGCATCCTGCATCACTCTCCTCGCGACTTACGTAAAGCAGTTTGCGGCTCAGACGTGATTTAAAGGGACCCTCCCACCTTCAAAAAAGTTAATGAATTGACATGAAAGTGATATCGCTCGGTTCAGAAAGAGCAAAAACCAATATCTACCAAATTTCATCGAAAAATATTCACCGGTTTTCAAGATATTAGACTTTTACTTTTGTTTACTTTTTGGGATCTCCGCTGTTCCTAGCGACTTTATTTGAAAGTGCGGCATTTGTTGCGCGCAAAGCAGCATATACCACCGCGTGCTACCAAACGTTTTAGTAAAAGATTTAAAAATCGTTAGATCTCCGCTGACGTCACAAATTCTAAGGGGGCATACCAATGCATTAGCCCCTTAGAATCCGAAAACTGCAAATTTGAAATTCCATATCTCCGAATCGAAGCATTATTCGATGTTGTGAGTGCCCAAACCGGTATTTTCAGGCCATGGCCACCAATTTGGCTATCTCAACTCAAAACTAATGTTAAGGTGGGATGGTCACTTTAAGCAGCCACTGGAGCACTAGTATATGGTTACTTTTGAATTTCAAGGGGTGCTCAAGCACCCCCAAACCCCCTAATTCTCGACCCCTGACAATTCTGAACGGAATCTCCAGCCAGCAATTTGGTTTGGCTCAAGCCCGTTTTCCCCGGCAACTCCGACATGCCATATTTGGGTCGGTGTAAGCCGAACTCCGTCGGAACAGGGGGTTTGAGTCGATATGGCTCTATTTCAGTTAGCCGGTCTTTGCCGTAGCGCTCTGGAGTTGGTATGGTTTGGACTGCCAAGGATCCGGCTTAAGTCCGGCTCGCTGCCACGGCGTGCTACTACCAGGTCCGGCTGCCTCGTAGCTGCTCTGGCTCACTGTGGATGAAGTACGGTTGAGGTATGGCACGGCTGATACGGCATAACTAAGTCCAGCTGTGGTGCAAGCGAGCTCTGGGATCGTGTGTCAGCTCCAGAAAAGCTCCAGACATTGCCCGTACTTCACGGCCGGAGTACCTAAGTGCCGGAGCTATGCTGCCAGAGTAAAATCAGATACGGCCCAGACCAATTTTGCTGGCTGGAAACAATTACCGATATCAATGAAAAGGCACTCATGGATACCAAGGAAGCCTGTGCCTTATCTGCATACAAAAAAAAAAAGAATAGCCGGTCGGTGGTCACTGGCGATTGTCGATTCTGGTCGGAATCACAGCCAATTAGGTATCAATTACCTTTATTTTCCAGCGATTGTGGTTTGGTCATTGTAATAAGAAGACCGAAGTTACATTACAAATATCGGACAGTGGCCAAAAGCGGCTGGCAGTGTTTTGCAATATATCATATAGTAAAGGAAGCAAACACTATACGATACAGCAAGAGCGAAATAAAAGTTTACAATGCATATTTTCCAGTGTTCATCAGCCTATGCGGGCCCAGCTCTAGACGGCGCGGGAGCGAGATAATATGCTGCCGGCACTTCAAATACCTAAGCTGAGCAATATCAACGGCTGTCATGGCTCCGCAAAGCCAAAAAAGTGAATATCATGAGCGAGAGCGACAGCCACGCAAATGGCAGTGGTAACATACCGACATCGGCCATTCCGCAAACGGTGGTCAACGCGATCACCCCACGCAGCTAAAACCACAAGCATTTCACATCTCGGCGGTGGCAAGATGTGAGCCCCCTCGTGACTGGTCCCGATCGCCGACGGGTTCGGGTCACAGCGCCGGTGGCGCCATCTCTGGGTGACCGTCCGAAGCGTTAGTTGGCCGACTGGTCCGACTGCACGCTGCACTGGGTCTCGTCGGAGCCGTCAATGCAGTCCTTATTGCCGTCACAGAAGTACCTGAAGGGCAGGCACTCGCCGGAGCCGCATGGCAGAGTGGTCGGCGGACAGGCCTGGGTCAGCGCCTCGGCCGGCGCCGCTGGGGGGTGGGTCAGGGCACGGCGTCAGGGGCGAGACACGCCGACACGTCAGCAGGACGGGCAGACGAGCACAGCCATCGGGTCAGTGTCTGACTGTGGGGCTGGGGAGCGCGGAAAACAGCCGGTGCCGGCACTTATCTGTTACGCTTTGTCAACTAGTGATCTTATAAATTTAAGATAAAGATGAAGATGGACGGGTATGGAGCTGCATGTGGACTGTGGAGTGGTAGCATAACATCTCTTATTTCTTCATACCTCCAGTCCTATGGGGGCTTTCTTTGCCGAACGGGAATAATCGATACGACTCCAATTGCACATTATTCGCAGTGCACTGTGCACATTACGCGAGGACAAAGACAGTGGCCAAGGTTAAGACGTTCAAGCGCTCAGAGCCCTCTCGCGCTCTTCCGTCACGCTTTACTCACGCTCCACGGTCAGAGAGATGGTGTCCTGGAAGGTGCGTCCGTCCCGGTCCCTCACCGAACACACGTACTCGCCGGCCGCCCGCTCGTCCACCCCCGTCAGACTGCAAGGGTACGGCACATGTGGAGAGTCAGAACACGCGGCAACGTCACGGCGAAACGTCCTTTAACCCGCGCGGGGCTGGGGTCTCCAGCCGAACGCGCGGGGCTGGGGGGGGGGGTAAATTTTACCCCCCTGTTATCTCCCGAACTAATGGTCCGATTTGGAAAATTCAAACGGCAATCGAAAGATCTCATCACGAACAACTAAAAACATGTACTTAATTTTAAGTTTGAGGTCAAGGTCAAGGTCAGGTCAAGGGTACAAATTGCAAGTTCCTACAGTATCGGCCTTCCACCGTAGTTGCCGAAGAATGGAGTCATGGACTGAGACTGATCGCCCAAAACGTGTTCTTAGGCTACCAAGACAATATTCGTTGCATAAAATATCATTCAGAGGTCAAGGTCAAGGTCAGGTCAGGTCAGGTCAGGTCACCAAAAACAAAATATAGAAAAGGGCATGTGCGACACATGTTTTATGGGTCATTTTACTCATAGAATTCAATAGGCACACTCAATAAGTGATATGGACCACCTCTGGATGAATTTCAGGCCGAGGTCAGGTCAAGGTCAGGTCAAGTGAGGTCAAATTTTGAAGTTGGTTGTTAAGGCCTAAAAAGGTGTCTATCTGATGCAGTTTTTCACGGCGAATCGAATGGTGCTATTTTTGTTTCCGTACGAGGTCTAGAACTTCCAAAAAAGTCATTTTTCAAAAAATTTGTGTGTCGTGACGTCATACAATTTTGAATAACTCCCACATTTTTGAACCGATTCTTCTAAAACTTGGTATGTAGGTGCACATAGACCACTTCTCTGACATATATTCCGGTTTTTTCGATACAATCAAAATTTTGGATTTTATAGTTATTTTGCCAAAAAAGTCAGTTTTTTGAAAAAAAATTTGGGCCAAAATCCAAAATTTTCAAAAAACCGAGATAGCCATTTGATAGACAAAGTAGAATTACGTATATCCTTTTTTGTTACGTCTCGATTCCTTTTAAAATGAAGATGTTAGCGGCGTTTGAACTTTTGCCGTTTTTGAGGCGAAAATGGCGAACATGACGTCACTAAAACGTCAATTTCTCAAAAATTTTCCGACGAATTTCGCTCAAATTTTCAGGAACGTGTCAAATTGATGTAAGAAAAGGTACTGAAAGTTTGGCGGCGCTGCGCGCCGCCGTTTTTGAGATATTGCAAATATTCGCGAGGGGGGTAAAATTTACCCCCCCCCCCCCCAGCCCCGCGCGGGTTAATCCTTATATACGTCCTACGCATATACGCATGGAATCCTTACATACGCATTATGATTTATGTACGCATGTACGTATGGAATCCTTATACACATTTGTATGAATTATTTCTTTAGAGTTATTTCCAGACATTACTTTTTCAAAACTGAGATGCATCTGGATAACGAATTCACTTAACGCGAAATCAGCTTACCGATGCATCAGCGATAAATTCAACATTTTTCATCATGTGCTTGAAAGGTAAAAAAAAATGTTTTAAAATGAATGCAGCTCCCTTCTCAGCTCCTCAATGTACGAAGTATCTGGTAGTGAGTCAAATGAACAATACTCTGCCGGCGGTGATACGGGCCTCCCCGTGAGTGCGGTGTCGGGCGTGCGCCTTACGTGAGCGATGTGTCGTCGGCCACGGCCCGCTCCGGCAGCTGCGCGTCCGGCCGGCTCCAGCTGATGCGGCCCTCGAAGCCGGACGAGTCGCAGCGCAGCGTCACCGTCGAGCCGAGGTAGGCGCGCACGTCCCGCTCAAACGCCACGATACTGGCCCCTCCTGCGGTAAGTAGAGAGGGCACGGGATTCAAATGGTCCCAGAAACGATCACCCGAGATCGGTAAGCTGGCCCATGATACTTCGTTATAGCACAACACGTGAACTCTGGTGAACCTATAGATAGTGGGGATTGACTTCAGATCAGTGCAGTGGTACAAGTTAATTTGCACTTTAAATAAGCATTCAAGGCTCCTTCGCAGTGCCATTCCCGTCGTTTCACACTTGCCCGCGCGTTGTTTATTGGGGAGGACACATATACTGACGTCTCACGATGACCTCTGCGATGCCCTCAGCACGGCCGGCCTGGTTCTCCGCCAGACAGATGTAGCGGCCGGCGTCCGACTCCGAGATACTGGTGAACTGGAACATACAGGTCACAGGGGTCAGTCCGAGATAGTGAACTGGAACATGCAGGTCACAGAGGTCACCCCGAAGCGCTGGTGAACTGGAACGTATGTACAAGTCACCGGGGTCACTTTAAAATATGAGCACAGGTCATCGGGTCAGCTGAAATATCTATTGAACGGCGATATCGGAGCACACTGAAACACGCCCTGTTGAGTTGTAGCATTTCTGACAGTTGAACCCTCCATCAGTCCCTTGCCCACACGGTATCTGCACTGACCAGCAGGGCGCCGTTCTCGATGTAGGCGGTGGCCGGCAGCGACTGCTGAATGCGGCTCCAGCCGACCTCGATGGGCGGGTCGCCGGTGGTGAGGCACTGGATGCTGGCACTGTCGCCCGGCTGAACCACCTGACGCACGGGAGACAGCTGGATCCGCGGCGGCTCTGAGAACAGGGGGGGGGGGGGACAACACTCGTCAGCCCGAAAAAGTTCAATGGAAACAATACGAGAAGCCCGTCATAGTCGTAATTACGAGCTTCTGGATGTAAGATGCAAAACCATTAGCCAGAAAGGCCACATTTTCTCCAGAATTGCATAGATTGGTTGAGATTGACGTATGTCTGAATACTGAGCTTATATCTAGTCAAAAATAAGTGACGTAGTCCGTCCTCTCCCTCCTCCAGCTCACCCATGACCCGCAGCGTGGCGTCGGCCCTGAAGAGCACCACGCCCTCGCCGCCGATGCCCAGACACGTATAGACGCCCTCGGCCTCCTTCTGCACGGCGTTGATGTAGAGCGTGCCGCCGCGGATGGAGTGATCGGCGGGCATCGACCGGCCGCCGGAGCGGATCCACGTGAGAGACACCCGAGAGCTGGCTCCTGGAGACACGAACAACGAGCTGTGGTCAGCGCACTGCGCTCGAGAACAACAGTGAAGCAGAGGGAACGGGAATCAGTCGCAGCTGCCATTGTTTCAGTAATAAGTGAGTGCTGTATTTGCATTGAACAGCGCGTTGTCGGCTTTTACGTCGTTAAATCAAGCACCAGTGCTTCCTTTGTGACGTCACACCCACCTTCGACGAAGCAGGTGAGCTCTGCGCGTCCGTTGACGGGCACCGTGTACAGCGGCTGGTCGGTGCGCACTTTGCCCAGTGACCCGGGCGGCGGCGGTGGGGGCACGAACTCGGCGGGCCGGCCGGCCGCCGCCTGCCGCTCGCCGCCGGCCACCTCGACCACCAGCTGCAGGACGCGCTCTGTGCGACCGGCCGCGCTCTGAGCAGTGCACGTGTACACACCAGCGTCGGACAGCCGCGCCGAGCCGAGCACGCCCGTGGAGCGGCCCACCACGCCGAACTGCTCCGACCAGTCGGCGGAGGACCAGGCCACTGACGGCTGCGGCACGCCGTACGCAGAGCAGGTGAGTTCCACCCGCTCACCCTCGGTCACACTGCCGACGGCGAGGGACGGGTCAGAAACGGGCCGGCCCGACCAGTCAGCCATGTCATTTTGCTTAGCGTGCAGCCGAATTCAACACATACGATGTTTCCATCCCGTGGCGCCCGAAATGCCGCCTCCCAGACGGTAGCTGTATTCACTGTTTATCGTTAGCTTAGGTAAGTATTTAGTGTTCAGCGCTCACCGGTAGGTGTCTGGATGGTTCAGTGTGATGGTCGGAGCGACCTGGGTCTGCACGTAGAGCCGAGCGATGGCCGTGGCCTCGGACAGGCCGTCTGACGCCGTGCATATGTAGTCCCCGGTCACCTCCGGAGTGGCACTGGGGAACCTGCCGTGGGAAAAATCGGAAGGAGAATTAATAGCGAGACATTTAGAAGACTCACGACTCATGTAAAACTACCAACTATTAAAAAGGCAAATGACATTTACTGTAATTCGTACGATAGCCTACATACTAAGTGAAGTTGTAAAAACGATACATGGAGCTCATATAGCACTCAGGGCTGAAGTCCGTCTAGTCACCCTCGATGGATCCTACCGCACTGACCTCAGCGTGCCGTCCGGGGTGGTCTGAGCACCGGCAGGCATGGGGCGTCCGTCCGCGCGGCTCCAGACCACCGAGCGGGGCCGGGGCGAGCCCTCCACGGGCAGACACTGGATGGACACTGACTCTCCGGCGTTTACCTGCTGCTCCCGAGACGGGGACACGGCCACCTGTAGCCTCTCAACCCGCCGGCCTGGGGGACACAGGGCGACATGTGAACTGACCTCTCACCGCGGCCGGGGGGACACAGGGCGGCATATTAACTGGCCTCTCACCGCGATCGGGGGCGGGGGACACAGGACATCATATAAACTGGCCTATTACTATATACATTATACAGCCTGGGAAAGACAGGAATTTCGCAGATATTTATCCCATATGACTGTCGTAATGTGTATCCATATGCTACCTTATTTTGCCTGACAGGAGCTCGTGTGTTGACGTTGAGAAGCATGTTCATATGTTGAACAGCCTCCACAGTTCGCTCGTAAGCTTTGCATAGCAGTTTCGGAGCTGCCATACTCACCCGAGGAGGTACGAGATCCCGACTGCTCTCGGCGGTCGTCCCGTCTCTCGTCCCGTCTCTCGTCTCGTCTCTCGTCCCGTCTCTCGTCTCGTCTCTCGTCCCTTCTGTCGGTCGATGTCGGCTCGCGGGCCTCGTTGACGTAGATAATGGTGCGGACGGAGATGGTGCCGGCCTCGTTGGTGGCCGTACACAAGTAATCGGCCTCGTGCGCCTTGGCGACGGCGCCGATCGCCAGCAAACCCTCCACGATGGATACCTGACGTCAGAGAGGCGTCACAGTCACGTGGAGTGTGAGAAGTGGCTTCGACTCATGCTACCGTTTTATGGATTGTGGACGGACCACAACGATAGGGTTAAACTACTGTCAGGACAGCAAGGGAAACATAATTCAAAATGAGTCGGTTAAGCGGTTTTCACATTGGTGTTAGCCGAAGGACGTACAGAAAAAACAAGCGTTTAAATACTTATTGATACAAATTACAATTTTTTTTTCTACTTTTCAGTCCCTGACATTGCATATCTAAATAACTCGAGCCGCTTCACTGTCTTCTGGCGCTACTTACGTCTGGCTCGAGCAGGCCGTCCCGTCCGCCGCTCCAGGCGATGGTCGGCGCCGGACTGCCGGAGGCCTCACAGCGTAGTTCGGCCGGCTGGCCCGACTCCAGCCGCAGGAACCGGGGGGTGATGGTGACTTGGGGGGCAGTCAGCGGCTCCAGCCGGCCACCGGAGCCCGTCTGGCCGCCGCCAGATCGGTCACCAGACGAGGACTGTCCACCCCGAGAACGGTCACCAGACGAGGACTGTCCACCCCGAGATCGGTCTCCGGATGGCGGCTGGTCACCTCTGCCGCCTCGACCGTCCGAACTGGCGCCTGTAATGGATGAAATAACGTACCGAGGTAATAACCTTTGCGACATGATAAAAAATGTAGCGACATTTCTATATTGCACTAGTCGATTTCAGCGGCCGATAAATGCCCTTTACTATTTATTTTATATAATCATAACTGCAGAAGCAAAGTTTTTGGAAGTATTCATTTTCAGGGGTCAGTGCTATAGAATTAGAGTACAGCGAATCTAAAGCGACATTTCTATCAGATCCAGAGCAGAGTTCAGTTTAACCCTCGCCCGCACATGCCATTTTCCCATCCTAGAACGCACATGGGGGGTGGGTGGGTGGTGGTTGCCACACACCCCCCCCCGCGCCATTTCGTTCCTGTTGGAGATAGAGCTTAGCGGTAAAGACCAAAAAGATTTTTTTGGGAAGAGACGAATCCAATGATACCCAGTTTTACCTTCTCAGGTCAGTCATTGACCTTCCAGGTCAGGTCAAACTAAAAAATGTTGCTGTTTTGGGTCACCGTTGGATATCAAGTGCGCTGCTTATCAAATACCGATGACGATGCTGTTTTCTGGTGCCAAGCCAGCTAGAACCTCTTTGTCACACTACCCGACCAGAATGTTGCTGCTGAGGTCATTTCAGGTCAAGTTAGGTCAAGGTCAATTATATGTGTTTGTATGTCTGTGTGTGTCTGTGTGTATACTGATGTGTGCACCGATTGTTCACGTGTCCATATTACATGAAATCATGATCTGAGAAGCTTTTACCAAAAATGCAGTCAAAAAACTTCACAAAAAGTAAATTTCGCTTGCCTAAAACGCAATTATCTTAGATGACCACGGTTGACCTTGACCTTGACCTTGACATCTGTACATCGTCGAACAACATGTTCCATGATAGGTGGGAGGTAAGACTGGCAAAAAAGGCCGAAAACAGGGTGTCAAAAGCTCACAAGGCCCATGGCAAACGCAAGATGTTGAGAATTGGCCATTTGGGTCATGACATGACCTAAAAAACAAGGTCATATCTCCGAAACCAAAAACCACAGAAACTTGAAATTTTAAGTAGACATCAAGAAAGGATAGAGGAGCAGCTATACGAAAAATCAGCCTTCTAGCTCTAAAAATGTTGAGTGCAGAGCAGAAAGACTACCTTGGGGGGTGGCAGCCACCCCCCCCCCCCCCCATGTGCGGGCGAGGGTTAAACACACGCGAGGCGGAATTCATCAACTCCCTCTATGTCGTTCCCGTTTTCCCTTTTGTTTCGGACTCGCTGTTCGCGCCTGGCCGAGTGGCGGCCCCGTTCACGACCTACCCTCGATCTCACAGCGCCGACCGCTGAAGTTGGGCCGGCACTCGCAGACCACCGAGCCGCGCTCGTCCAGCTCACAGCTGACCTCGTTGCCGTTGCACGGACATCTGCGGCACGTGTCGTCGGCGGCGCGGTAGTGGCCCGGCGCGCAGTCCTGTGCTCGCACGATGAGAAGGAGGAGGAAGGGGGGGGGGGTAAGGTAACCCAATGGCGACAGTCAGGTGAACGAACACTGAACAGTCCTCTTTAACCCTCGGATGTGTGCGGCGTTTGCCAGCTTATAATGTGTAGGGGGAGTCGGTTGGACCCCCCTTGCCGTTTGGCCCCTGATCGAGCTAGAGCTTCGCGAAAAAAAAAAACGAGCGTGCTGCCCGTGACGAGAGGAAGCCGATGATACCCAATTTTAAGGTCCTAGGTCATTGGTTTACCTTCCAGGTCAGGTCAATGACCCAAAGTCGGGAAAATCGGGGCCTGTTAGAAAGACGTAAAGTGTGGCTGCTAAGGGGTTTTTCGGGGTGCTGATCACGAATATCGAGTTAATTTTGATCACAGATGATGTCTTTAAGCATTTAGACCAGGTCGGGTCAGGTCAGGTCAGGTCAACCAGTAGGCGTCGTGACGGGTATTCGTAGTACGTGTCAACCGCCTCTGACAGCTTCATAACATGTTACGAAGGCACCAAAACTACTTCGTAAATGTTCAAATGGTTGCTAAATTCGAGTTCAGCTAAAAAAACTAGCCTAAAAACATGGAAAAATCGAAAAGGTGAACCGAGGTCACCAAAGGTCAATGACCTGACCTGACCTTCAGGTGACCTTGAAACCCACCCTAATGCATGGGAGCAACATCAAATCACATGTTTGAACGTTTGAAACCACGAAAAGCTTGCAAACGCGCGGCTAATGCGAGCCGACATACGCGGAATCACGATTCCGGCCAAACATGGCCTCGGAAAAGAGGTCACAGGTCAAAGGTCATTTGGGTCAGGGTCATGAAATTTTCAGGGTACGTGTAAAATTAATCAATGCGAGGGTACTGAAAGTTTCGTCGCGATCGGCAGCTTTTTACGCGAGTTATTCGCGAAAAACCATGGGGAGGGGTCCATCCGACCCCCCCCCCCCTACACATGCGAGGGTTAATACGGAATAGTGGTTGAGTAGCGACAGTGGCGAAAGGAGCACACCGCACACTGCACGTGCTCCAAACCATACTACGAAAGGGTTAAAGGTGATTGGGAATAGTGGCTGAAATGTCAGTCCAACGCCATGATGACAGATTGTATTACGATTATTTTCATTTTAAGAGCGGACTCCGGCGCACGACTGGTTTGCGGGGCTGACTGACCTGGCACGAGAGGCTCTCGTACTCGGGGGGACACCGGCACTGTTCGATCGTCTCCACAAGGCCGTCACCCGTGCTCTGGAAATAGACAAAAGCCAATAATATAAAATCAAAACGGGTCTTCGGGATATAAACTCCGCGGCAATACGCTATAACATAGGTCGTGCTGCTAAATATCATCAATAAATTTACGATGTATTAACAAAATAAAATGTGCACACTCCGTAGTGCATTATGTAACTGCAGCAGTGAAGTGCATTCGAAGCTGCATGTGCGCGGATCTGAGCTCTCCGCTCGATTCAATTCCTTACCGAGACGATGGCCGTGTCCAGGACGGCGTTGCTCAGGTAGGTGGTCTGCTCTCCGTCGCCGAGTGAGACGGTGGCGCGCACCAGAATGGCCTCCACGTCACTGAGAGCGGTCATGAGCAGCTCGCGGTCGGCGCGCAGGCCTGTGGTGCCGTCCACCCATCCCTCGTCCGGCGCCAGGCGCACCGAGTACTCGTGCAGTCTGTGAGTAGAGGAGGGAGGCTGGGTGGCGTCAGAACGGACATCCAATAGGGCGACATTCCAACCATCGCACCAACGTTCCGCTATCTGTCCTGGCTTCCTTACTTCTGTCAAACCCCTGTCCGGCCGTCTAGGCCGTCTTGACCCGTCTACCAGTCCTGACCTCTGCCTAGCCTGTCTGACCAGCCTCCTTGCCTGTCTGATCAGCCGCCTATTCCTTCTGACCAGCCGTCTGACCTGCTGTCTGACCCGTCTAACCTGTCATATGAGTTGTCAGAACTGTCGTGTAACCCATCTGACCAGCCGTCTGGCCCCTCTGACCTGCCGTCTAATCCATCTGACCAGCCATCTATGTAGACTGTCTGACCTGTCTGATCAGCCTCTTAGCCCCTCTAACCTGCCGTCTAGCCTCTCTGACCTCCCATCTAGCCCCTCTGACCCAGATCTGAGCTCTGACCTGCCGTCTAGCCCCTCTGACCTGCCGTTTAGCCCCTCTGACCTAGATCTGACCTCTGACCTGCCGTCTAGCCCCTCTGACCTGCCGTCCGGCTGCGGCCGGGACGGTGTGCGCAGACGCAGCTCGACAGCTCCTCCATACAGGATGATGTCGGGCAGGGTGTCGGGCAGGGGTCCGGAGCGGGAGCGCAGCTGAATGCGCTGCCGCACCATCAGCGAACCCCCGTACGACTTCAGCTGCGACATGGAGAGAAAGCGTCTGTGACTGTCACACAGTAGTAAAACAGCAGCTGGTAGTTTCACGGAATAACTGGAATCACATGACACTTTTGCCGAAACGAATGGCTGATTACATTTAATCAAATGATTATTCAAGTTGAGTTATTTTCTATACAAGCTGCAGTTGCGAATTATTCATGAGATGGTCTTTCACAAACTCTGTTGGCTGAAGTTTTCAACTGTAAAGCAGGTAAAAATTAGAAGGTAGAAAGCCAGGTCTGTAACTAGCGACTAGCGAGATGTGTATAAAGTAAGGTGACCAAACCTGGTCGCCGGTGAAGAGGTCCGGCAGCGTCCAGTAGAGCGTCTCGGCCTGCCGCGCCGCCTCCACCCGGTAGCTGACCTCGTTGTCGGCGGCGCTGAACGCGATCTCGCCGTTCTCCACGATCGTGACGCCCTCGCTGCAGAAGCACAGGACGTAACACTAGATCAATGATCGGCTTTGCATACTGAATTCAAACTACGAATTGATGGGATTATTTGTGGTTTGGAATAAATTCGACGTTACAATTTTATCCGCGCAGGTTGTTGACACGTTATTGTTTTATACACCGACGCTGAGCGGCGTTTCAATTCCCACCTGTTACTGAGCGTGACGCCGTGCTGAGCGCCCAGCACGGACATGGGCAGCTGGGAGCGGTACAGACGGGCTACGGAACACTGCCGGCTGACTCCCGAACAGAAGCAGCTCGAGCAGCCGGCCGCCGGGTCGGTGCCCAGACCGAACGAGCCGGCCCGGCAGCGGTCGCAGTGGTTACCCTCCGCATTCGCCTGAGGGGGTACGGGGTAACTGTAACCGCTGAAATAACTTCACGTTTATAGGGATTGTCAGCAGAATGGCCACAGGTATACCTAGGTACCTATAGGTAAACACATCAACGTAACATTTAAGTGACACATCAAGGTGTAGATAAATATGAGATATCGCTTAGTCTGCTAGAAACATTTAGTTATAGCCACAATGATTTGTCCCTTGTCTCCACGCTGGCCATTTTCACACCCTCTCCGTCTGCTGCAGTGTCCTCCCACCTTGCAGTCACACTGTCGGCGGGCGTCGCAGAGCTCGGAGTTGCTGCCGCGCGGGTCACAGTCGCAGGGCAGGTCGGCGCGCGGCCGGCACGGCTGACCGCGGCTCGGGTCACCCTCGTAGCCGGCGCGGCACACGCCACACTCCGGGCCGTCGGTGTTCTCGCGGCAATTCTGGCGGAGGGAGCCGGCGAGGGATTGTGGCTTTGTCGCTAGATGGCACCAGCTTCGAGCGCCTGAAGATAGGCTATATCGCACAAACATGCCTGGTTATATAGCATTTTTGACAATGCTTCAGCTCATTTATTTTGCGATAATCTCGATTCAGTGCTCTTGGTAGATTAAGAAAGCATCATTTTGAAAATTGTAAAGCACCATTGGCATCTAATGCAAGATCACGGGCGGAGCTATAAGCTTGCAACAACCGTAACCCCCATGTAAACGCGGCTTTCATAACTCGATTTCATAGCTTTGTCATTAGAGGGCAGTAGTACCGAGCGCCTGAAAGTTATGCTGCACCGCATGGCAGCGTTGACAGTTATTGTCGCTAGATGGCAATAATATCGAGCGCCTGAAAGTTATGCTGTGCCGCATGAGTGTTGACAGTTATTGTCGCTAGATGACAGGAGCATCGAGTGCCTGAAGGTGGGCTGTACTGCATGGCACAGTGTTGACACTCATAGTCGCTAGAGATGGCAATAACATCGAGCGCCTGAAAGTTATGCAGTGCCGCATGACAGTGTTGACAGTTATTGTCGCTAGGTGACAGGAGCATCGAGTGCCTGAAGGCAGGCTGTACCGCATGGCAGTGTTGACACTCATAGCCGCTAGATGGCAATAATATCGAGCGCCTGAAAGTTATGCTGTGCCGGATGACAGTGTTGACAGTTATTGTCGCTAGATGACAGGAGCATCGAGTGCCTGAGCCCTGAAGGTAGGCTGTACCGCATGGCACAGTGTTGACACTCATAGTCGCTAGATGGCAGGAGCATCGAGTGCCTGAAGGTAGGCTGTACCGCACGACACAGTGTTGACAGATATTGTCGCTAGATGACAGGAGCATCGAGCGCCTGAAGGTAGTCTGTACCGCACGACATAGTGTTGACAGATATTGTCGCTAGATAGCAGCAGCATTGAGCGCCTGAAGGTAGGCTGTACCGCACGACAGTGTTGACAGTTATTGTCGCTAGATGGCAGCAGCATCGAGCGCCTGAAGGCAGGCTGTACCGCACAGCACAGTGTTGACAGTTATTGTCGCTAGATGGCAGCAGCATTGAGCGCCTGAAGGTAGGCTGTACCGCACGACACAGTGTTGACAGTTATTGTCGCTAGATGGCAGGAACATCCAGCGCCTGGAGACAGGCTGTGCCGCATATCTCCGTTTTATTTTATTTTTATTTTTTCGCTAGCTGAAGTGGAAGTAAGCGGCTGCAAGTATGCTGTACTGCATGACACGCCTATTTGAGCCCTGAACTGGCCTGAAGCAGCCTGAAAGTCAGAATCGGGCTTCTCTTAAGCATGAATTTCGAAATACTGAAGGCAGCAAAGCTGAAAATCATTTCCCCCAAGTCAAAATTCGCTTTAAACTAGGCACGCTTCACACCGTTCCGTGCTTCTATCCTCAGGATACTGAAATCCTTCTCCTCCACGCCGCAACCCCCCTCCGGGCTGGACAGGCAACTTTATCTCATGCGGGCTGCTCCCTTGGAGCGGCACCGCTGCTCCCGAGGGAGCGCACCCCGTAGCCGGGTGCAGTGAGTACCTTGGGGCTGAGTGGCCTGTCCTCTGGACGGGCTCAGCCCCGGTGACTCACTAGGGTGCCTACTGCCTGCCCAGACCAATGTCTCCCCCTATATCCTATCATCCTCCCGGCTCTGAAATGGTCCCATCGGACCGAAAGGGCCTAACCCAACAAAACAAAACAAAAAGGCACGCTTCAGGTCTCGTTTGCACTCACCGGGCACTCATCTCAGAGGCTCAGACAGCAGAGGCACTCATCTTAGAGGCTCAGAGAGCTGCGGCGCTCACCAAACACTCACCAGACAATCACCTCAGACAGCTGCGGCACTCACCAGACACTCGCCGGTCTCGGCGTCGCACTCGTCACTCCTGCCTCCGCAGTTGCAGCGGACGCAGGTACGCAGGTACAGGCCAGACAGCGACCTCGTGTAGCCGACATCGCAGTCCTCGCACGATAGGCCCTGCACCACAGACAGCACATGATGGAGCGTGTCCGTGGTAGGCACCGCATGACAGTGCACAGAGACAACGCGCCGGAAGATTTATAGGTAACTGTTGGGTGGGTGTGTCTCGTTTTGTGCTTTCGTACTTGTAGTTTATTGAATTTTGATAATAAGTGCTAGTTCATAAAGTCAACATTGAAAAGCCTAGCAACGGAGAGACACGATGACTCCTTTTAGACCATGAAAAAGAACTCTTTTGCTGAAAATTGGGCCTACTTTTCGGCAGTTTAAACAGCTATTGTCGTTAACCCTTGTATGGGCTATTATGGGCTTTTCAATTTTATGGGCTATTCAACAGCTAATCCTTTTATGGGCTATTCACTGCAATCAATCCGTTTTCATATAAACAGAAGAGACATATTCACATTTCTTGAAATTCTTTTTTATGCCTAAATTCACAGTATCCTAATCGTCCTAATTGCTTGATTTTGAACGCTCGGGACGCTGTTTTCTAGACAGGCGATACACTGAGTCAGGAGGGGACTGGCAGCTTCAGTTCCCACTCACCCGGTACCCCTCGGGACAGCTGCACTGCTCCACAGCTCAGTGCTTACTCACCCGGTACCCCTCGGGACAGCTGCACTGCTCCACAGCTCAGTGCTTACTCACCCGGTACCCCTCGGGACAGCTGCACTGCTCCACAGCTCAGTGCTTACTCACCCGGTACCCCTCGGGACAGCTGCACTGCTCCATTGTTCAGTTCCCACTCACCCGGTACCCCTCGGGACAGCTGCACTGCTCCACGGCGTACGCCTGCTCCTGACCGGTGAAACGCTGCGTCGCCGTGTCCATCTCCACGCCAGACAACCTGAAATGAACGGGCCACGGTCGGGTTTCGGTTGGGTGAGACTCAGATTGGTTTCGAGACGCCGAAGAAAGGTAAAAAAGTGTGAAATGCATGTGCGTAAGCAGCCGAGTGAAATGCTTAGCCTCCGGTTGCCTCGTTATACTTAGCAATAACGAAGCAGCTTCAGCAACGAAGCAGCGAAGAGTAGCGATGTAGGTAGCACATCACTCCTTTTCGCTAAATATGTTATCGTTAACATATATATTGACCACCAGGAGTTAAAATTCAGGAATCAACAGTACTCTATCCATGTTTGGCCTTATTCATCAAACCCTGTCACCGTCTGGGGAGTCACACCGACTCCCCAGTCTGAGGAGTCACACCGGCTCTCCAGCAGCCGTCTGCCAGAGCTGCAGACACCGGTCCTCACCTGGCCTCTGAGGCGCCGCGCGCGTCCGCCGCCTTGAAGATGACGTACTCGAGGTCGGCCAGGGCGATCAGCAGGTGCTCGCGGTCCACCGGTCCGCCGTCGTCCCGACGCCAGGCGGTCTCCACCATGGGGACGGAGAGCGAGATGGGCCGGCCGGCCGGCAGACCGCCCGAGACCAGGTGGCCCAGACGCACGTCGTTACCCTGCCGGCAGCGGCAAATATGACGTCTAATCAGTTGCTTTCTCCTTGATTATTTATCTAGCATTAGGATAAGAATATGAAAATAAATTAGTTATGGTTAGGAAAAGAATTAGTTAAATTAGTTAGGGATACGTATTGACCTATTTTAGTCATCTTTTGGCAGTCATTGCGTACTAAGCTGCTCGTAGCTCTCACAAACGTTTTTTTTTTTATTGACGGTAAGTGACACTCTGCATCTTTAATCACTGCGAGGGCAGGCGTGACTCACGAAGATCTCGATGTCCGGGTAGTCTGGGAACGGCTGGCCCCCGTTGGGAGCCGAGTAGCTCATGTTGATGCTCAGGGAGCCACCGTAGGCAGTCACCTTATCGCCCAGGAACCGGGCCGGAAGGCTCCAGTACAGCGGCTGGTGACATGACACTCGGTTACAATCGGTACACTCGGATTATTGCAGCTATGTATATCTGAGAACAATGAAAAAGATAAACAAGAAAAGCTTATGTCAGGCTTCGTTTGATGCGATAAATTAACCCATTAGATACGCTTGGCAGCTTTTGCTGCCACAGGACAAAATAGCGCCGCATTCCTAAACGTTGCGGTGAACTTTCAAAGTTCTCACCCGAACGGAAGACCAAAACAATGCACGTCATGTGCGCTCCGAATTATTGATCGAGAAAGCGAATGTGCTGAGAAATAAATAATTTATCGCGGGGGTGCCAGGGGCGCGCGATGGCGGCCGTGCGGCGGACAGCAAAGAGGTCAGTTGCGAAGGTGGTGTGAATAAATGTTACCTTTTTATTATTGATTATTGTAAAGAAATGTGTGATTATCAATGGGAAGGGCTTAGGTGCGACATAAATTTCCCTAAGTATCGCCAATCGTACGTTATATTTAAGTGGCAGCAAAAGCTGCCAACCGTATCTTACGTAGTCAAGAATGGAGCAGTTACGTCCTTTTTGCTATGCCATTCGTAAGTGAGCGACAATGTCTGGCTTTATGGCTCATAGTGTAATGCCCCAGTTCTTTGCCTTTCCAAAAATGGTCATTACCGGGGTTTCCGCTATTTATTCTTGTCTGCAGAGCATTGCATACCAACACACTACCAGGCGTGTAATGTATTCCGCCATTGCTGAAGCAGGGACGTTGAACGGAGTGGTGCGGACAAACTGTCATCAGAGGCGCCACCCCTCAAGGGGCGCGCCGTCGCCTAAGGGAAGGTGGTGCCGTGGCTCTATAGATGAACGGGAAGAGGGGCGCCTGCTAGGCCTGCCGCCTTTTGGGGCGCCTTTGAGGCCTAACTATGGGGTCGCCCCCGCCCCCCGCCCCGCTCCCGCCCCTCATGCAAAAGAGGGGCGCCTACGAAGGTCATGGCCATAATGGCGCATCTGCACGAAAGAGGGGCGCCTGCACGCCGAAGAGGGGCGCCTATGAAGCCCAATGGGGCGCCTCTACGAGAAAGAGGGACACCTGTAAGGTCTATGGGGGTGCATGTAATGTCCATAGGGCACCTTTATGCGAAAGAGGGGCGCATCGCATATGAAAAAGAGGCGCATTGCACAAGAAAGAGGGGCGCCTCTGAGACCTATAGGGGCGCCTTTGATGACCAAATGGGCGCTTACATGGGAAAGAGGGGTGCCTATAAAGCTTAAAGGGACGTCCTCCATGTGAAAAAGGGGCGCCTGGGACTTGAGCGCCCTTCCGAGCTGTCCGAGGTCGCCGGAAAGTTTGTATATGTCCAGCTCCTGCTGCACTAACATGATGATAGTGGCAGTGGCAAAACGGGTGTCTACTAATTTTTGGCACAAAAGTTTGATTTATTTTTATTTACACTAACGTCACCCAATGTCACTGAAATTCTTTGCATATGAAGACCTAACAATTGTGCACGCGTCACAACATTTTTATTTTATTTTCGTGCAATATTCACTTATCATGGAGACTTTGACTAAAACGCAGGTTCGTGAATTTGTGGCCGATTTTGCCAAAGAACACCATTTCCTACCAAAAAGCGAGCTTGTGTCACGGCTGGAGGTAGCAGGAGTGTCGAGAAGAACTGCCTACCGTATATTAAAGAACATTGAGACGAGGGGTAGCAGTAAGCACGCCGGTTAAGGGAAAGCTGGCGCAAAACCCTCCAAACTTGGGCCCCAGAAGAAGCGCCTTCTTTTGAATGCCGCCAAGGGACGCGTTGGAACATCCCTGCGCGTGCTGGCCCGGCGTTTTGGCGTATCTCATCAGTATGTGGCGAAAATCCTTCATGAGAACAACATAAAGCATTAGAAAAGGATCAAGGTGCCCGAGGTCACTCCTGAGCAAGAAAAGCGGCAGAAGACCCGGATAAGACGGCTGGCCCGTGGGTCGTTCTCGAGGAACGCCGAACTGGAGGTGGTCATGGATGATGAGAGCTATTTTACGTTCTCAGGAAGTGATATGCCCGCAAACTCCGGCTTCTACGCTGGCCCTGGAGGAGACGTACCGGATGACGTCAGATTCCGGCCTGTGGGAAAGTTCCCGAGAAAGCTTCTCGTCTGGGTGGCGATCTCTCCCAGGGGGTGTCAAGCCCTGTCATCTGCCCGAGCCGCACCAACGTAGGGGGCGACTTCTACCGCCAAGAGTGTCTCCAGAAGAAACTTTACCCATTTTTGAGAGAACAGTACCCTCATGGTGGGTTTATCTTTTTGCCAGACCTGGCAGCGGCCCACCATGCCAAGAAAACGGTCACCCTTCTGGAGGAGGCTGGGGTGCCGTTTGTTGCGCGTGATGAAAACCCGCCCTGCGTGCCTCAGCTGCGCCCCATCGAGGACTTCTGGGGCATCGTCAAGCAGGAAGTTTACAAGGGCGGATGGAGAGCGGCATCAGAAGTCCAGCTGAAGAACCGTATTCAGAGGGTTCTTCGTTCGATCCGAGAGGAGCTGCCGCGCACCATGATGGAGAGGGTCCCGGAGCGCGTGCGCCGTGCCGAGCGACGAGGAGTCAACAGCAGCCTGCACTGATCAGATAGCGTTAAGTATGAGTGCTTCCAACCATGTGTGAATTTTGGTGACGTTTGAACAAAATATATGTGATTTATGAGACATTTAGTTTTGTGCCAAAAATTAGTAGACACCCGTTACCCTCCAAAAAAAAATCGATTGGATTTAGGCCAGGACTGTTCCCTAGCCCAGTGTCCTTCCCCCAGATATCGGACAGATGGTCCTGGCACCGCCTAGTTCCGGAAGATCGATGAGATGGAGTACCTACCGTCCAGCATGAAAATGCTGTCCGACCTGCGGGACACCATGCGCCGTTGGAGCACGGGGTAGTGGTCTTTTAATGCCAAATGCACGCTTTCAGCATGTTTTCTAGGTAGTAGTCGGGATCGACTTCGTCTTTTGCTAGATCACGTCCAGCTGGTTCAGCTCAGGCCCTGTTAGGACATCGAGATCGTTCGACATACCATTGCGGCGAGAATTTTTCGCAGAAGTCTGTCGGAACTTGGGCCGCGTTTTCAGCCCATACTTGTTTTGGGGGTCCGTGTGGTGAAACCATTGAAACGGAGACTCGTCGCCGAACTAGACCCGCTTCTACATACCTACTCCGTTTCCACTCTTCTACCGGCCAGATTCTCCGTTTCGTGCAAATCTGAGGGCTCTGGGCTTGCTGATTTTCGTTATTTTGGCCGCACCAATAGTCAAGCGCCTTCAGTCCAACGGCGTTCCTCCCTTATCAATGGACAACATTATCCGAGTGATCATTATGAATAAGACTTCAGATTCTCCGCAGAATGGTCAGACTTCCCAGGTCCTTTCTTCATAACGATCTTGGCGACGGTTGAGACGCAGGAGGACCATGATGATTGGGGCTTATGCGAGACGCTACTTGTCCCTAAACTTCTTCCACCAGCGCTTGTTGGTGAAAACGGGGGCTTAGAAGTGTGAGGCAGCGTCCTTCCATGTGTTGCCACTTGCCAGCTTGGAGCATGCCAACAGCGCAACTACGAACCTCTCAGTAAAGCTAAACCTTCATGCTTAGACGTTCAGTAAATGCGCCGTTCAATGGTCAAACAATTACCCATGCCAGTGACCTCCATTGGTAAAGGTCAGCTTTTCAGATAATCTCCGCTTCAGAGAAAGACTCAGGGACACAATTCGTTGAAAGGAACGCGATATTTAGGAGCACATTGGAAACACGCCAAGTTGCTTTAAATAAACGGTCGACGGAAGTCATAAAAACCTTCGTCGCATGCTATATAAGATTTTGTGGGGAGGGGAAGCGCGTGTGAGCTGAAATAATGAGAGAAAGAACATGAGCTCTCAGAACGAGCTGAATTGTTAGCTGAGGTCTGGATTTTGAGTTCATTGTTCTTGAGAATTATTGGCTACGGTCGTTATTTGCAGGCTACGGTCGAATGGAAATCCGAACAATTACACATATTCAAGATCATATCTGGTACGTAAATAAAATAGTTCGTGAAAATTGTACATGCACCAACAGGAGACACTCTGTGGCAAAGGTTGTTGGTATCGAAAGATTATTTCCTCGCGGTTTTGATATGTTTGTGCTTTGAAATGTGACAAACCACTCCATTTTTGACTATGTAAGATACGCTTGGCAGCAAAAGCTGCCAGACCGGAAACGTACATTTCCGGTTTCGTGATCTGGCTAAAAATGCACATGTATTCTCCTTAAGGAAGCCTGACAAACATATGTTAAAATCGCAGTGAAAGTCGACAAAAAAAGTTTTCGGCTCTAATGGGTTAATTACATGCAGCTGAATTGCATTGATTTATTTCTGTATGCGGCCTCGCTGTTGGCTCGTTACCTTGTCCCCGAGCCTGTCCAGGCCCTTGAACACCAGCTGCTGGTCTCGCCGGTCCAGACTGACGCCGTCAAAGGTCTCCTCCACGAGGTCGTCGGTCAGCCGGACACCCTGAGTGTCGGTCACAAACACGGCCGACTCCTGGCGGCAGACGCGCGACAATCTATTCGTCACGTAACCCCTGGCAGACCCTTCAACTCTTGCACACAAAGCTGTCATTTTGTGCAGTTAACACGCTCGCCTATACTGTATACGTACAGCTGCCATTTTTCTGTACTTGTTCGTGCTCTGACCTAGCATTTTAATGACAAGTCTCTACTTAGTACCGCACTGACCGTCTGCAGCATACTGACCTGTGTATCATTCTGCACTGTCGTCAGCACCTACCTGGCGCCGGTACCACTGGGAGGAGGTGCACTGGTCCGTCACGCCCGAGCAGAAGCAGTTGATGCAGCCGTACTGGTTGCTGGGACTCAGGTAGAAGGCTCTCTGGACGCACTGGTCACAGAGGCGTCCGGTCACAAACTCCTGAAACACACGCCCGGTGCACGGTTAGGGACTGGCCCGGCTCAGGGCTGGGTTGTAACGGTTACCGCTGGTATGTTACAGTCCTACCCGGTATGTCGGTGATGACACGCCATCCATACTGACCTTGCAGTTGCACCGGCCAGTTCTGGGATCGGGATCCTCGGAGAGCGAGCCGGCCGGGTCACACTCGCCGCCTGCCGACGAAAAACACGAGAGGGACAGAAATCAGCTTTTGGATGAGCCAAACATCCATTCAGGTGTCCCATGGTGGCTAATAAAGGAGAGACCTGTATTTTATTTTGATCGAAACAAGGTTGTGTCCCTTGGTAACTCACCCGCAGGAGACTTTTTATTTTATTTTGATCGGAACATTTCTCGCTTTATTTGTTCTAGCTACCTCTTGTTAGCTACTTCACCTGGTCTGCAGGGTCAGGACGAGTCACCGCGGACGGGTCGCCGCGGGACGGGTTACCGCTGAACAAACAGACCTCACCTCGTCTGCAGGGCTCGCCGCGCGACGGGTCGCCGCGGTAGCCGGCCGCGCAGCGCTCACACCGGCGTCCTCCGTACCCGGGGTCACAGTTACACGTCACCTGGTCGTCCGAGTCAAGGTAGCATGTCTGGCCGAATCTGTGAGGAAATACGCTTAGATTAGCACTTCTGATGAACTTTGTAGCATTTGCACTATTTTTAACCATATGGAGTGTATGTTGGAAATTTCGCAAGTACTTAATTGGTCCGAACTAATAAAAAATAGCAGGCAATAATGCGAAATCTCGAAAGACAACGGGTCTCCTTGAGATAGCAATAGCATCGCGCAGAACTCAGAAGTATGCCTTATGTCGCCGGCGGCACTCACTGCTGCTGTCCGCCGGGGCAGGGGCAGGGCCGACAGGGAATGCCGCGCCGAGGGTCGCCATATTCTCCGTCCCTGCAGCGCTCAGGGACGGGCGGCGGCGTCGGGCGCGGCGACTCACAGGTGCCCAGGCTCAGTCGGTCCGCGCTGGGCTGGCGCTCGTAGCCGGGTGCACACTCCTGCGCAGATGGGGTCGCGTGTCGGAGGAGCATAATAATACAGCAGCGCGTCAGCAAAGAGAACAATCGCAGATTCCGGTGTCAGAGATATAGATGAGAGTTGCAAGAGACATGCATGGAGATAAATCACAGCAAACAATCGGAAGTATCATTTTCGGCACGAATAAAACAGACAGACAGGTACTTACACGCAGGCAGACTTGACTGACAAACACAAGCAGATAGACACTAGACACCCTCCCCCCTCCAACACACACACACACACACACACACACACCTCGCAGGAGTTGCCTGTGTAGCCGGGCGGACAGCGGCACTGTTCGACCAGCGCCGCCGGCCCCTGTGGCGTCTGCGACCTGATCGCCGTGTCCAGCCGGACTCCGCTCAGCACCACGGTAGAGCCCGGCGGAGACGTCGGCGGCGCCCTGCGTGGCAAGTGAACAGCGCAGCTCAGCAGTTTGATTATTTATTGACGAATAAGTAAATCGCAACCGAAACGAACGGGAAACGAATACAATTACCTACGTTAAATGTTATTTGCTGGCTATGTCTGTAATGGCATTCTTTTAAAAAAATATTACAGGCAATATCAATCCTGACGGCAAAAATAATCGTTTAATTTCGAAAAAAAGAGAAACCTTTCAGCAGGCTACTAAATTTGTTTCCGTCATAATGCAAATTCCGACCTTTTACTGCTTACCTGATGTAGAATCCCTCCACGTTCTGAAGAGTCATCATGATCTCGTCTCGCGAGGCCAGCTGCGGCTCGCGGTCGAACCTCGACGATGAGTAGAAGCTGCCCACGTCCATTCGGATGATAAAGTCTCCGCCGGCCGGCTGAATGTCGGCTCGGTACCACAGCGTGATACCGTTACCCTGACAGACACGGAATGCCGCGTCAGATCGTGAGTGCGCAGCGCTGCGTTACCGTGACAATTCCGGGCAACAAGTCATTAGTTTTGATGGTACGTACTTACCTACGTTTTTCATGTGCTCATTTTATTGTTTTCGCTGATGAGCTAAGCTCTGCACGTTAACTGTCGCAGCTGATTTATTTGTCCGGTCACTACCGCTCGTCATAGCGAGTTCAAGATTCCAGCCAGTCCGCCCAGTGTATACCTGGATGACGACCTCCGGAGCGCCGTCCGACGGCGGCTCCTGGCTCAGGGAGAAGCGCAGGTAGCCGCCGTAGCTGTTGAGCAGGTTTCCTGTGTGGGAGCTCGGCAAGCCAAAGTAGCTGTCCGAGTCAAACAGCTGCGGTGGCCGGACCTGGAATTGTGAACAGGTGAACTCATTAATTCCTTACTCTGGTATGTTTGGTATCCTCAATAATCTTCATCTCTTTATATAAAATTAAAAGAAGTTTGAGATTCTTTATCGTGTTTTAGAACTATGAAAAGTAACCCAGTAACCACATTTGAAATACCCATGTTTCTTTCATTCACAAGGAACCATTAGAGCATCACTTTATAGAATGTCTCTGAAAAGGATAAGTCAATTCAGATGCCTAAACAAAATTATCATCATCTTCATAAATGACTTCTTGCTTGGAGATAAGCCAGCATCAATCAGAATTCTACGCCGTTCCGGCAATGCGCCTTCCGGACGAGCGCCTTCGGCAATACGCCGGCGAGACGATAAACGTAAATGCGCTTGGTATGCTGCGCCGCATCACACGGGTGTCGTGCGGTGCAGTCTACCTTCCTGTTTCACCGCGCCGCCCGACTGAAAACGGCGAGGCGAATTGGCGGTGCAGCGCTGATAGATTACCATAGTAGAGGCACATGAAAACTTAAATATACGAAAATCGATTTCAATGATAGCGCAAGCATTTCAGATGCTTTGAGAAAGATATCTGTCCTGAAAGTTATGCTCTCAGAAATTATGAATAAATACATATTCACTTGCTCACTACTCTCGGCAAGTGAATCGGAGTAAGTTAACGCCACGGAGCTGTCTCTCGTCATCCACTGCTCGACGGTCACCTGAATCTCGCCCTGCCGGCCGGGGTAGGGCCGCTCTCTGAGCCGCTGAATCTCCCAGGCGTCCTGCGATCCCGGCACCGAGTCTATGCTGTGCAGTGAGACTGCGCTCGGGTCGGGCGCCGGCAGCTGTCGAAACCGCATGCACAGGTCAAAACAGTAATATTCATAATTTGAATCACGCTGAAATCGCATCAACAGCACCATGATCATTTTTCATAGAAATTATTTTTAACGTATTAGCAGGTATAATATTAAACGGCGCCAACTACATCACACCTAAAGGGCTGCACCGAAAACTGTCACGTTTCATTAACAGCTCAACTCAGTCCTGCACGCCCACCTCTGATACGAAGAGCGCCGAGCTGGCGCAGTCAGTGGAGACGCCGAAGCAGAAGCAGCGCCGGCAGTCGTCGTTGGTGAGCGCGGCGCTATTGAACTCGGGCGGCTGACAGATGCCGCCGTTGGTCACCACCACATTGGTGTCGGGCACGGCGAACACCACACCCTGCGTGTTGATGGCCTCGCACGAGTAGGCGCCCTGGTCAGAGACGGCCGCGTCCGGACAGGTGAGCGTACCGCGGCCCTCCACGCTGCCGAGCCGAGATACAGTCAGGAAGCGTACCGCGGCCCTCCACACTGCCGAGCCGGGACACGGTCAGCAAGGGGAAAGTGGCACAGCTGCAGTGCAACAGAGCTAAGAGCACATCAGACAAGACTGCATTGTTCAAATGTATTTCTATTAATGCCTTCCGAGTGCAGAATATGTCATCATATGATATCTGACATCCTTATCAACCGCGTCTTTTACTTCTTTAATTTTGCTCATACCTTTCTTTATCAACATAGCTATTTGTCTTTTGGTACACCTACTTATACTGAATATTTTATACCCATCTATCCCTTCTATTCTCTCCCTTGTCTCTCATCCTCTGTCTCACACTCTTCCCCTCCTTTCTCTCTCTCCTTCTTTCTCTCTCTCCCTCTCTCTCTCTCTCTCTCTCTCTATCTCTCTCTCCCTCCCCACCTCTCCTGTCGGCACTTCTCGGGCACGTGTCGCCAGTTTCTTCTCCAAGAGATCTCCGGAGTGGGGGTGCCCACGGCCCGGCACCGGATCACGAACACCCCGCCAATGCTGATGACACTCACTGCCGGCGGCTGTTCGACAATGGTCGGCGCCACTGCCGGCCGCAGCACAACGTTAGGTCACCGAGGTCAACCAGCAGAAGGCATGCCGCAAACAGCACGCTATGTAAATAAACAAGGAGTGCTAAGTATAGTGTTTCATATCTGGATTCTGGAGCGACTTTTTTACGAGACGACACTGTTTTGACTGCCACTGACGGCTGCGGATGTTATTGAGGATGACTTCACTCGTGTTTGTGTGTTACTGGCTCGGAGCAGCCCTGCTTTGCGGACGGCCGGCGGTGAGGTGGCCTGTCAATTCCCGCGCTGCGGAGCGTGTCACGTACCACAGCCGCGCTCGTCACTGGCGTCCAGACAGTCGTTTTGGCCGTCACACTGGAAGGAGCGCGGGATGCACTGGAGCCGGTCGGCGCACTGGAACTCACTGGCGGTGCACCGCGAGCCTGGGAGGGCAGCAGAGACAGACGTAGCATGGTTAGAGGGGACAGACAACGGCTGTCGTCGGGAAAGATAGAATACAAACAACGATACCGAGGGAAAGAGGACGAAGGAGAGAGAATAGCCTAGAATATGTAGGTTAGGTATAGAGAGACTAAAAGAGTAGAAAGAAGAGGGAGAGAGAATGGTAGAACAAGATAATCGTTATCAAGTCGACGTAGAATTATGTGTATCACGCTCCACTTGTTACGGCCAAGGATGCACGACAGTCAGACTGAGCCTCACAGCTGAAAACCAGACGGCAGACGATATCGTTCTCTCTCTCTCTCTCTCTCTCTCTCTCTCTCTCTCTCTCTCTCTCTCTCTCTCTCTCTCTCTCTCTCTCTCTCACTCTCACTCTCTCTCACTCTCACTCTCACTCTCTCTCTCTCTCACTCTCACTCTCACTCTCACTCTCACTCTCACTCTCTCTCACTCTCTCTCTCTCTCTCTCTCTCTCTCTCTCTCTCTCTCTCTCTCTCCCTCTCTCACCCGGCACGCGCTGTTGACAGTCTCGCTCGTCTGTGTTGTCTCCGCAATCGTTGTCTCCGTCGCACCGCCAGTGTTTCATCGTGCATTTGCCGTTGTCGCACTGTAGTTCGTTGGGCTGACATCGGCTGGCTCCTGCGAGACAAGACAAATTAGAGTGGCGAAGACAATCATATGCTTGATAGCTCCAGTCAATGCTGAAGTGCTACCGTTTTATCATATTTCATCGTTCAACTTTGCGGCTGACCTATCTCTGCATTAGAATGGGCGCAGTGCAACTGCTTCAGTAAGATAGCACGGTTACTGTTCTCGCATGTACATTAGTGGCATTACTGTGATAACACCATTGGTACACTTTACACTTGAGTTCATGTACATACATACATACCAGTATAGCGCCTTTTGGGGCGATTAACGGAGCGAGCGAGAGGGTGGGCCTTGCACGTGCGAACTTGCGACGGGGTACCTCCAACTGACTTGTGCACGGCACCTTACTAACCGGTCTCTAACGATGTGCCAAATTTGAGCACAATCGGCCCAGCCGTTCTCGAGATCTGGAAGCGGCACCCTGCACGTGCGCACGTGCAAAATGGGTCCCAACTGACTTGTGCACGGCACCCTACTAACTGGTCCCTAACCGTGTACCAAATTTGAGCGCAATCAGTCCAGCCGTTCTCGAGATCTGGAATCGACCCCTGCACGTGCGCACGTGCAGCAGCACCCCAACTCTGGCACATGGATATGCATTGCCTAGTGGGTGCCTACCTACATGCCAACTTTCAGCGCAATCGGCCCAGTAGTTACCCAGATATTGCAACAATTACAAAAGTGACACCTCTTCGTTTTGCACGTGGCACGTGCATAAGGGGTCACCCACATGCATCGGGAATAGTCCAATACTTGGTAGAAGGAATGAAGCTACCCTACAAAAATTACCGCATGTAAATCGGTCAAGTGGTTCCTGAGATATAAGCGTCGCAGAATCGTGACCACGGCCGGCCGGCCGGCCGGCCGGCCGGCCGCTCATACTCAGAAATTTCTGTTATTCTACGTAAGACTCCGCTCGCTTCGCTCGCTCCGTAATGAAGTCACCGCGCCACCACGGAAATGCCCACGCGGCGGCGGCTCTGGTTGCAGTTCTGTCAGCGCAGCGCCGTCCGACCTGCATTCCTCCAGGCGCGTCCTTGGCCGCAGCAGGCGCGCGGCACGTACTGAGAGCTTATACGAGCGCCAGTGTTTACAACCAGAGTCCGGTGCTCCGGAGTGTTGGAATCGATCTGTCAGTCACGGCCGTCCCAGTGCGCCCAAAACCAGAACACCTCGCTGCATCCCGGTCTCTGCAACCTGCATGCATCAATCCTGCATCACTCCAGCACAATGCGTCTATACAAGGTATTCACGCCCGCAGCTGGGGTTCGGAGCTCCTTACCGCAGTCCAGTTCATCTGATCCGTCGACGCAGTCGGCGCGGCCGTCGCACAGACGACGGTAGTCGATGCAGCGTCCGTCGCCGCACGTGGCCTCGCCCTGCCCGCACCGACGCCGCACGGTGCGGTCATCTGAGGGGCGGGAGAGAGCGATCGGGCCAGTGCAGCTGTGCTTGCAGGGTAGATGTTGGCTAGATTTTGGGAGTCACAGATAAAAGGCAGCTTTTAGTGGTCCGTCGGCCATGTAACAGATGTTGTTAGATGACTAAATAATAGTTAAAGAGGTCGAGCTTAGAAAGAAACCTTAAGCAAACGACTTCACGTTTACCAAACGACTCCACTTAAATTGACGTCACAATTATCTTAGCTTAGCACCACCGATGAAAAGTGACGGGCATAAATGGTTCACTTTCCGACTAGTGGATGAAGATAGCGATACGCTTTTCATGCATGTATTTTCTAAAAATCTCATGGTTTCACCCAGGGCGTTTCACCTATAAAGATAAAATTGGTTACCTTTTTCAGAATTGCAACGTACGAAAAATGCGTTGCATTGTGTTACAAATTATATCTCAATTGGAAGAGAAATGGAACAGGTAACTAACTGACTGGTTTATCAAGTGCCGAAAAAACACTAAATCCCGGACTCTCACCATCGTGTCCTGCGCTTTATCTTTAGGTATGTATACTGAGCAGCGAGATCAACAGTGCTAAATCTGGGGACGGTCCGGCGTTCCTCTGATTTCGTTTCAAAAATGTAATGCAAATATTTCGAAGTAGTATATGTGTGTAGACTATGGTAGTACCTAGTCATACATGCATTAAGTGTAGGTACCTATGCATGCAGACGGTATCTGGTCATGTAAGGACATATTTATGTTAGGTATGAGGTTGTCGGCGGAGCCAACAATAGCATCATAAAGTTATTTGCTGGCTCCACCGATAACCTCATAACACATGGGCGGTATCGGGAGCTTGGCGGCTGCCGCCGCCCCCCCCCCCCCCCCCAAGGACTTTTCGCGATAGCTCCGAACACGCCGGTGATACGAGAGCTGAAACTTGGCAAACCTGACCTTTGGCCCAAGCAACATCTTACGACACCAATTGCATTTTCAGGTCAGGTCAGATCGCTGACCTATGACGTCATAAGTGAACCTCTGCACGGTCCTCAGATGTCGCAAATTCGCAACGCCCTCAGTGTCATGAGGAACTTTCACAAGGAGCTGAAACTTAAAAGATGTAGTATCCTCCAGAGGTCTCACAACTTGTATATCTCGGATTTTTCCTAAAGGTCATACGAGGTCAGGTCGGTCACGTGACCTCACCATTATAAGTCAATGGGAAAAAATGAAAACTGCTATTTTGGCACCGGGATTGATCTAATCCTAGCCCAACCACATGTTATCATGATTGCACGCAGTATGTACTTACAAGTTCCAATACATCACTTAAGCATCGCTGACCTTTCGCGGCGTCATTTATGACATCACTTGGATCATAGGCGTTTTCCGTCAATAGCTCCCGAATAAATTGGGCTAGCGAGTCGAAAAAACCACCAATTGACTCAAGAAGATCTGCCAAATCGAATGATATGCGAAATGACCTCCTTCGACCAGCTTCGTGACCTGGGGGCGCTGACCTGACATTGACCCGAGGTCAAGACCTCAAGCTGACCTCACCCGAACAAAAAGCATACCTACCATTCGACGCGCCTGAGCGAGGCGAACACGACTTGCCAAAATTGCGAATCTGTGGCCTTGTTTTTTTAACGAAATCATTTATGAAAAACTGAACCAGTGCCATGCGTCACTTGTCCTGACCTCAGAAGACTTACCGGTTGATCTGAAACCCTAAAATCGGGTACCAGTCGCTGCGTCTCATAACGGCGCACACGCACGTTTTTTTCCGCGACTCCTTAGCTCATCAGGGGCGAAAGGACGAGGGGGGTCGTACCCTCCCCCCTCGGCCGGCGCATATGTAGAAAACCAATAAGTCGGGCGAGGGTTAACCCTCGCCGGACCTATTGGTTTTCTCAACATACGATCATCATTGATCGGCGGCAGCTCACGGAGACCCGCTGGTGACCTTACCGGTCCGCTGCTGGGCGTAACCTGTCTGCACCAGCACCACCAGCAGCAGCGCCGTCACCAGCCACGGGAGCTGCATGGTCACCTCTCTCGGCGGCACCACACGGCTGGTGCCGGCCGCCGACTGCACTGCAGCGGCCGCGGCAGACGGCGGCGCCCGCTCTCAACACGGCACGCTCTCATGTAAATAAACACCATGATTCCCTCATCCGACCCGGCAGAGGCAGCACTCAGCAGTGCAATGTCACTTGGGTACTCGATCTATTTTGCACTGGAGATGCAACTTTAGAAGTCTTTGAAACCAACAACACAAAGCACAATTATTACATATATAAAAATCAAAATGTCCGTATGTATGTATGTATGTATGTGACGCGTCAGTCACGCTTGGCGGGCTATTGCTCCGGAACGGTGCGGGCTACGGGGGTGAAATTTTCGACTGAAGTCGGACGCGTGCATCTATTTGTCGTATCAACTTTTCGAGGGGGTGCGTGCAGCGGTGTGCACGTGGCGGGCGCATCTTTGCGGGATTTTGGGCCGCGGCCGGCTTCGAGCAGAGAGCACGTGCTACAGGCTCAGTTTCTTCGCTTGCCAAACTGAGCGAAATCAGAGCCGGCAGGTCACTGACCTTTGGCAATGAATACCGGAACAGAGCACCGCCGGCCAGGAGGAGACGCCAAATTTATTCTGGCAATAACTCGGCCGCTACTGGGCCGATTTTAATGAAAATTGATTCATTACGCTGCGCGTAATGCTGTCCCTCTTTACGCTGCGCGTAATGCTGTCCCTCTAGTTTACTTATATAAAAATCAAAATGTCCGTATGTATGTATGTATGTATGTGACGCGTCCGTCACGCTTGGCGGGCTATTGCTCCGGAACGGTGCGGGCTACGGGGGTGAAATTTTCGACTGAAGTCGGACGCGTGCATCTGTTTGTTGTATTAAATTTTGGAGGGGGTGCGTGGAGCGGTGTGCACGTGGCGGGCGCATCTTTGCGGGATTTTGGGCCGCGGCTGGCGCCGAGCAGAGAGCACGTGCCCTAGGCTCAGATTGTTCGCTGCGAAAATGAGGGAAAACAGAGTCGGAGGTCGTTGACCTTTGGCAATGAATACCGGAACAGAGCACCGCCGGCCAGGAGGAGACGCCAAATTTATTCTGGCCATAACTCGGCCGCTACTTGGCCGATTTTAATGAAAATTTATTTATTACGCTGCGCGTAATGCTGTCCCTCTAGTTACATATATAAAAATCAAAATTTCTCTACGTATGTAACGCGTCAGTTCCCTTTGGAGGGCTATTGCGAGGCGACGGTGCGTGTTGCGGGGATGAAATTTTGGCGCCGAGTCGGGCGCGTGCAACCATTTGTCGTATTAAATTTTGGTGGGGGTGCGCTCGGCGGTTTGCACGTGGCGGGCGCATCTTTGCGGGATTTGGGCCGCGGCCGGCTTCGAGCAGACGGCACGCGCCTTAGGCTCAGTTTCTTCGCTTTCAAAACTGAGGGAAATCAGAGCCGGAGGTCGTTGACCTTTGGCAACGAATACCGGAACAGAGCACCGCCGGCCAGGAGGAGACGCCAAATTTATTCTGGCCATAACTCGGCCGCTACCGGGCCGATTTTAATGAAAATTGATTTATTACGCTGCGCGTAATGCTGTCCCTCTTTACGCTGCGCGTAATGCTGTCCCTCTAGTTTACATATATAAAAATCAAAATGTCCGTATGTAACGCGTCAGTCACGCTTGGCGGGCTATTGCTCCGGAACGGTGCGGGCTACGGGGGTGAAATTTTCGACACAAGTCGGGCGCGTGCATCTGTTTGTTGTATTAAATTTTGGAGGGGGTGCGTGCAGCGGTGTGCACGTGGCGGGCGCATCTTTGCGGAATTTTGGCCGCGGCCGGCGCCGATCAGAGAGCACGCGCATTAGGCTCAGTTTCTTCGCTTGCCAAACTGAGCGAAATCAGAGCCGGCAGGTCACTGACCTTTGCCAATGAATACCGGAACAGGGCACCGCCGGCCAGGAGGAGACGCCAAATTTATTCTGGCAATAACTCGGCCGCTACTGGGCCGATTTTAATGAAAATTGATTTATTACGCTGCGCGTAATGCTGTCCCTCTAGTTACTCTTATAAAAATCAAAATGTCTGTACGTATGTATGTATGTAACGCGTCAGTTCCCTTTGGCGGGCTGTTGCGCGGCGACTGTGCGGGCTGCGGGGTTGAAATTTTCGGGCCGAGTCGGACGCGTGCAACCATTTGTCGTATTAAATTTTGGTGGGGGTGCGCTCGGTGGTTTGCACGTGGCGGGTGCATCTTTGCGGCATTTTGGGCCGCGGCCGACGGCGATCAGAGAGCACGCGCATTAGGCTCAGTTTCTTCGCTTTCAAAACTGAGCGAAATCAGAGCCGGAAGGTCACTGACCTTTGGCAATGAATACCGGAACAGGGCACCGCCGGCCAAGAGGAGTCACCAAATTTATTCTGGCCATAACTCGGCCGCTACTGGGCCGATTTTAATGAAAATTGATTTATTACGCTGCGCGTAATGCTGTCCCTCTAGTCACTTATATAAAAATCAAAACGTCTGTACGTATGTATGTATGTATGTATGTATGTATGTAACGCGTCAGTTCCCTTTGGCGGGCTGTTGCGCGGAGACGGTGCGGGTTGCGGGGGTGAAATTTTCGGGCCGAGTCGGACGCGTGCAACCATTTGTCGTATTAAATTTTGGTGGGGGTGCGCTCGGCGGTTTGCACGTGGCGGGCGCATCTTTGCAGCATTTTGGGCCGCGGCCGGCGCCGATCAGAGAGCACGCGCCTTAGGCTCAGTTTCATCGCTTGCAAAACCATGAGCGGAAACATCGCTGGGGGTCATTGACCTTTGGCAATGAATACCGGAACATTGCACCGCCGGCAAGGAGGAGACGCCAAATTTATTCTTGCAATAACTCGGCCGCTACTTGGCCGATTTTAATGAAAATTGATTTATTACGCTGCGCGTAATGCTGTCCCTCTAGTTACTTATATAAAAATCAAAACGTCTGTACGTATGTATGTATGTATGTATGTATGTATGTATGTAACGCGTCAGTTCCCTTTGGCGGGCTGTTGTGCGGAGACGGTGCGGGTTGCGGGGGTGAAATTTTCGGGCCGAGTCGGACGCGTGCAACCATTTGTCGTATTAAATTTTGGTGGGGGTGCGCTCGGCGGTTTGCACGTGGCGGGCGCATCTTTGCAGCATTTTGGGCCGCGGCTGGCGCCGATCAGTGAGCACGCGCCTTAGGCTCAGTTTCTTCGCTTGCAAAACCATGAGCGGAAACATCGCTGGGGGTCATTGACCTTTGGCAATGAATACCGGAACATCGCACCGCCGGCAAGGAGGAGACGCCAAATTTATTCTTGCAATAACTCGGCCGCTACTTGGCCGATTTTAATGAAAATTGATTTATTACGCTGCGCGTAATGCTGTCCCTCTTTACGCTGCGCGTAATGCTGTCCCTCTAGTCACTTATATAAAAATCAAAACGTCTGTACGTATGTATGTATGTATGTAACGTGTCAGTTCCCTTTGGCGGGCTGTTGCGCGGAGACGGTGCGGGTTGCGGGGGTGAAATTTTCGGGCCGAGTCGGACGCGTGCAACCATTTGTCGTATTAAATTTTGGTGGGGGTGCGCTCGGCGGTTTGCACGTGGCGGGCGCATCTTTGCAGCATTTTGGGCCGCGGCCGGCGCCGATCAGAGAGCACGCGCATTATCCTCAGTTTCTTCGCTTGCAAAACCATGAGCGGAAACATCGCTGGGGGTCATTGACCTTTGGCAATGAATACCGGAACATCGCACCGCCGGCAAGGAGGAGACGCCAAATTTATTCTTGCAATAACTCGGCCGCTACTTGGCCGATTTTAATGAAAATTGATTTATTACGCTGCGCGTAATGCTGTCCCTCTAGTCAAAAATAAAATATCAAATTACACTGTCGCCATGTATACCTGGGTACCTACCAATAAATATTTGGGACGGTTGGTCGAACTGGCCATTTTGTTCGGGACGACCGGAGTTGATAAACGGTCGGTACCGACTGCATAGGAGTTACCCACCAAAATGAGTAGGAGCATGGCCATTTTACTATGAAATGTTAGCACTTAGCGGGCATGCTGATGTGTCATGATTTAGATAACGTAGTTTCAGTCAACTGGCAAACCATTGGCCAGCTTTCGGGCTGACTGGCAAGGCCGATAGGGGAATGGACGGTTTCATACAACTGTGACAAGGATACTGCGAGCGAGCATCCGGCATTCTCTAAAAACGTTCTCTTTTCCGATTTTGCTTCATATGGTTCAGGTTTTTCTGTTATTTGCATACCTAGTTCTTTTTTCATTTGATGTTGTTTTGTTATCTTTCAATGCAACACGGCGTCAACGATCAAAATATGAATTTTGCGGATGCTGTTAAAATCAAGAAACCATTGGAATAATGGGACGGTAGCCGGGTAATTACCAAACGGCAACATAAGCACATGGCACAAAGAGTCACATAACTTTAACCCGCGCATGACTGGGGTATTTTCCATAACGCGAGTGACTGGGGGGGGGGGGGGCTCTCCAGAGCCCCCCCCCCCCTCCTCTCTCCGAAACTACTTGGCCGATCGCCAAAATTCAAACGGTGTCTGATAGCCCTGGAAAAACTGTCGAGCGAAACCTATTTTCATTGACCTCGAGGTCACCGATGACGTCACAGGTCAGGTCAAAGTAAAAATGATCGACATTTTTGTTAGTTCACAATTTAGGCTCTGACCGCCGGACCGCCGGTCCGATCAGGCTCATTTTTGGCTTACGCACTCCTTGACGGATGCCTTAGATACCCTGAGGGTACCAAACTTTTACTTCGAATTTTTAAGGTCAAGGCCAGGTCATCCTAGGTCACGAAAATTGTATATCATGTATCGGTCACGTGACGCATGTTTTATGGTCCATTTTACTCGTAGATTTCGAAAATAGTGTCGTCTGTGTCATTTGAGATCATTGTCAGCTGAATGTACAGGAGGTCAGGTCACTTTCAGGTCAGAAAAGGTCAAATTTTGAAAATGAAATTTTTCAACAAAAAAGGTGCCTATCAGATGCAGTTTGAGCTCAGGAACACAAAGGTGCCATTTA